CTCAGGCAGGAAACCCTATACCATTTCGGACAAATGGCTGTCCAGTCTCTTCTTAAAAACTTCCAGTGTTGGAGCATTCACTGCTTCTGGAGGCAGGTTGTTCCACTGGTTAATTGTTCTCACTGTCAGGAAGTTTCTCCTTAGTTCTAGGTTGCTTCTCTCCTTGATCAGTTTCCATCCGTTGCTTCTTGTCCTGCCTCCAGGCGCTTTGGAAAATAGCTTGACTCCCTCTTCTTTATGGCAGCCCCTGAGATATTGGAACACTGCTATCATGTCCCCCCTCGTCCTTCTCTTCATCAAACTAGACATACCCAACTCCAGCAGCCGTTCCCTATATTTGATAAGATGAGCGATGATTTTAAAAACCTACCTGTACTAGTATTATTTTGATTGCATACTGGCTGGCTCCCAATGACTAGCAATCATCCTAGTCATTGGGAGCCACCCAGTATGCAATCAAAATAATACTAGTACAGGTAGGCTTGCTTTATGGATTGCCTAATTCAGCAACCATTCAAAATTACAACAGTACTGAAAAAACTTTATGACCAGTGTCTGCATTTATGACTGCAGTGTTCCTCAACTACATAATCGCCATTAGTGAGTATGCATTGTCCTGTGCCTGACCTGTTCTTTTTCTTCCTCCCTCCCTTGCAGAGTAGATAGATGGGAAAGGAAGGGATTAAAACATAATGATGTTTTTTAAGAGGAAAATGCCATTTAAACTAAGTCTTCAAAATGTAGTATCTGGACCTTTACATTTCTATTATTGACTCTACCTGGATATTATTCCCCTCTCAGATCTCAGTATCCCACATGAGACGTACATGGTACTGGTTATATTTAAATAAATATATATTTAAATAAAATTAAAATTAACATTGGTTGCATCTCGTATATGTATAACAGTGGTGGCGAACCTATGGCACGGGTGCCAGAGGCGGCACTCAGAGCCCTCTCTGTGGGCACGCGCGCCATCGCCCCAGTCCTAGGCATTCAGCTGGGTTTTATAAAACCTTTTTGCTTTAGGCCTCCGCCGCCATGTGCAAAAAAATAAATAAATGGTTCAATCAATCAGTCAATTTCAACTTCTTGCGAGAAAAAAAAGGTCTTGCAAAGTTGGAATTGATTGATTGAACTTTTTAGTCCCACCCAGTCTGCTGTTACCATCGCAGCCATGCCCACCCAATGGGCCACACCCACCCGGCACCCAATGATGCATATGTGGGTTTTGGGTTGCAGTTTGGGCACTCGGTCTCTAAAAGGTTCGCCATCACTGATGTATAACATTAAAGTAGGATTATGTTAGCACTAGTTCGCAATCTTAGGCATCCATTCTAAGCCAACAATAAATAAGCTGCAATTTATCATAGCTTTACATTCAAACCAGTTCGAAGATGTAAAAAAAAAAAGTGACATTTTCTTATCACATGTTTTTTTTTAACAAAAACGAATAAATTCATATATTTGTGCAAACACATTCCACATACCATTCAAAAAACAATGAAAATACAGGTTGTTGTCTTAGAACATAATATTGCAGTTGAGCTCAGAGACAAAAGGATAAAGATTTGTTTTTTTGTTGTTTGGTTTTACTGTAGTAGGTAAATCCCAACTATGACTTGATTGATCTGAAACGTTCTGTTCTATTATCATCTACTTTGTTTAAAACTCTCTAGCTAAAGATGGTATCGCAGAAATATTTTGGATTGGATTAAATCAGTTGGATGTTTCTGGAGGCTGGCAATGGTCAGATCATACTCCATTGAACTTCGTGAACTGGAATTCAGGTAACTTGATTTTTACTGTCTTCTCTGTTAATTCATACTTGATGAGCTTTAGAGTAGGGAAAGGAACTGTAACAAGAACTGAGTGAAAAAGATGGAGCTAATGCAGAAGAAGATTTAGATGATGGCAAATCATATCTTTAGTTCACACTGTCCTTGGGTGGAGAACTTGGACATCTTGGCATAGATACTGGAATCTGTTTATCTGGCCTTTCATATCTGTCCATCTAGTGATGTTACCCCTTCCCACCGCCATGTTTATATACAGTCTTCAGCCATTTAACAAGATGTTCTGTATTCTAGTAATGTCATTATTTGATTCCTCCCACTTGGAGTAAGATGATAGGTAACTCATAGCAAACAAATAAGCAGTGGGTCTCTACAGTTATATTTGTAGGCAACAAGTAACCATGTTTGCTGTGGACAGGGTTGCTCTTGTTTTTGTTTTGTTTTGTTTTGCTTGCATTGGCAATCAAGCCATGATTTGGAATACTGAAACTAGTTCAGGTAGGCAGTGGATATAGGCACTGGAGGAGAGCCTACCTCTCATATAGTATGTTGTATCAGGTCTACACACAGCCACCTCAGTTCCTCTCTTCAGGGAATCCCGTACCACCATGACATGCTTCTTTCTCAAAGAGGTTCTTAGGTTTCTTCAATCCAGGGGTTCTGGTTTCTTCCTCGGTGTTCTGTGGCCAGGTTGCACAGGTGCTATGAATTATCCCTTAAGGAAAGAATGACACTGGCACTGAGTACCTTCCAGTCTTCTTGTTTGTTGGGATGGCAGGCTTCCATGTATCTGCTTCTACCAACAGGAGTTCTGCTCTTGCGTGTTCATTTGTCCACTCTTCTTGGAGAGCTTCAGTTGCCCTGTCCAGGAAACCTCGTCTCTTTCTTCTCAAGCCCTTTAATTTTTTAAATCTTTGTTCATAATGCACAGTCTAGAACGGGGGTAGGCAACCTTGGCTCTTTTATGACTTGTGGATTTTAACTCCCAGAATTCCTGAGCCATCCATGCTGGCTCAGGAATTCTGGCAGTTGAAGTCCACGAGTCATAAAAGAGCCAAGGTTGCCTACTCCTGGTCTAGAACAATACTCTCCAACCTTTCCAGCTTTGTGGACCAGTGGAGGGAGTGAGAGGAGAAGGTTCTGCACGAGTGGCAGGTGGGCGTACACTTAGCTTCATTCAGGCAAGCAGCGGGCACATGCACCCACCGCTCACACAAATGGAGCTGCACACGCGCGGTCGTCCATCCACTGTGCGCAGAAGTGGAACTGTTTGCGCATGCTCGCCCGTTTCCACGGCCCAATTCCGAATGGGCCGCTGGTCTAGAATGCAGGGTAAAATCAACAATGGAACTCATTGTGTTGAATTTTTTTTAAATAAAAATACAAATTCTATTATTTTAATCTCATCCTTTGCACTCCAATACCTGTTATAATCCATGATGTGGTGTATCATCAGCCTAATAACGAATCATTACTCTTCTGCAGAGATGCAGAATGTATCTCCACTAGAGGGAAATGATTGTGCAGCTATGAATGCTGAAACAGGTGACTGGAAGAGTTATCCCTGTGATACTCCAATGCCTTATGTCTGCAAGAAACAAGTTAATGACAGTCAGCCGGATTTCCCAGGTGAGTCTGAAATGCACTGTGAATTCAATTTGGGTCTGGTTTTTGCAGCTAAAATGCCAAATCCTTACATAATGGTAAATAAAGCAACTTCAGAACCATTTCAGATTTTCCAAATGCTTGCAGTTATGTTCACAAAACATACCTAATGTGATTACTAAATTAAAACTTTATCAGGATTCACAGTGTACTTTGAAGCAAAAGGGCTAGTTTAGATGTTTGTAAACTTTGTATAGCTTTTTCCTCAAGTTGAAATTACAAGCTCAGCATGGATTCAGTCACTTACGTTTTTATTTAAGTACTTAAAACCATATTCAGTTACCTTGAGGTAAGATGGGAAGCCTATTAAATAAATAAATAAGCAAGCAAGCAAGCGGTATGTGCACAGCCATATATGATTATAGAGAATGTGTAGTAAAATTTGGATTGAATTTTTAAGGTAGGAAAATGCAGTTTTGCAGAAAATATTAATTTTCTTTAATTACACATGGAAGGCTTCAGAGAATTTTTATAATTTCCATTCAAAAGGATCTCAGAAAATTTTATTTGAGGGATTCAATAAAACTTGTTCCCTCTGTAAGTGTGGTGCTGCAGTCTCTTTATGACTTGATTGTAAGTAGGGGCAGTTGCAGAAGTAACCAAGAATATAAAATCTCTATTCTGGCATTAATAGAATTTATTCTGGGTCATTTGTTTAAAAAAATATATCTTGAAGGCAAATGTTGTAAGAGGGACAATTCATGCAGGCTATTTTTGACTTCTACCAGCTGAGCCTTTTTGTCCATCTGATTCAGTATTGTGTACTGTGACAACAATTTTTATTTTTTTTAATTGGAGATTTTTTTTTATTTTTTAACTGGAGATGCCAAAGTTTAAATCTATCGCATCCAAAATTTGTTCCCTTTGAGCTGTGATCCCTTACCTATGGTATCAGTTCTGTATCATTGCTTTTAGAAATTATCGTGTTTTCTAGCAAATTCTTTTCAAGTTCTTTTTTTTTTTAAAGATATTCAGAACAATATTGAGTGTGAATCTGGCTGGTACGCATACAGTGGATTTTGCTATATGCTAAAGAACAAAGCTGCTTCGTGGAATGATTCATATCAGCTATGCAGTGAACTCAACAGTAGCCTCATCAGTATACATTCCTTGGCAGATGTTGAATTAGTTGTTACAAAACTCCACAATGGTAAGTTGGAATGAGTATGAGTTGCTCCTGTTTTTCTTTTAAACAGTACTCCGGGAGAAGGGCGGGATATAAATTAAAATAAAATAAAAAACAAACAGTACGTCCGGGAGAAGGGCGGGATATAAATTAAAATAAAATAAAAAAAAATAAAATTTGAGATTGGAACCTACAGTAAAAACTATTTTATTAAAAATTAATGTAAATCTCTGATATTACTAAATCTATGACCACATGTTCATTAGCTTACAGACAGTTGTTGCTTAATGACCACAATTGGAACCAGCAACTCAGTTGCTAAGCAGCATGGTTGTTAAGCAAGACGTCCCATGACCATAATGGACTTAGAGTCTCACTTCTACCACAGTCATTAAGCAAATCAACCACAGCCGTAAAGCAAGACTCCACATGACCTTGACTTGCAATTTTATGGCTGGCTTCTCCATTGACTCTGCTTATCAGAAGCCAGCTGTCAAGCATGCAAATGGCTATTATGTGACTCCAGTGATACTTCAGCAGTTGCAAGTGCAAAGAGCTGAAGTTATCTTTTCAGTCCAATCATAACTTTGAACAATTGCTAAATAGGGCAGTTGTTAAGCATATTTATTTGCCGTTCAGTGTGGCAAATACAGCAACAGAAAACCCAGTATATACTATTTACTTTGTCTGCTGGCTAAACCTCTTTAATTCCATTATACAAATGAGAAGTGGCCATAGAAAAAGTTCTGTTTTTTATTATATGGTTTTATTTTGTCAGAGAGAGGCTGAGCCAGGGGGAAGAGTCAAGCAGGGAATTAGTTTGGAATCCTTAGGTAGGCAAAAGAAGGCAAGGCAACACACACACACATCCCTGAATGCATTGAGTCTTACCTAGTCTGGTCCAGGTGCAGATTGTCAGTCTGGGAAGATTCCTGTGAAATAAGCATGAGCAACAAAATAGCTAATTGAACTCTACACCAGGGGTCTCCAACCTTGGCAACTTCAAGACTTGTGGACTTCAACTCCCAGAATTCCTCAGCCAACCAAGCTGGCTGAGGAATTCTGGGAGTTGAAGTCCACAAATCATAAAATTGCCAAGGTTGGGGACCTCTGCTCTACACCCTTGGATCTGGTTATCTGTGCCTGACGCTTTTGTCTCTTGATTTTTGAACTGCTTGAATTTCTGCTTCGATTGTAGATATGAAAGACAAAATATGGATAGGATTAATAAATAAAGACATTCCAGCCTTGTTTAAGTGGTCAGATGATTCCAAAGTGGTGTTTACATACTGGGATCAGAATGAGCCAAAGGTTTCCTCCAAAAGCCCTCCAAACTGTGTCTCTTATTCTGGAAAGGTAAGGATCTTTTGGGATGTTTTATAATTACTTGTGTAAAGCGTTTTGTAAACTTCATAAAAGACAAAGTATATGGCTTATTTTATCAGAGAGTGTTTCTTTTGTGCTGAAGAATTAAATTAATTAAAATAATTAAAACAGGAAGGCTGCAGAGTTTCGATGTGATAGTGGTCATTCACATACATCCTTTGGTCATTTGTAATCAAGTGTGACTACGCAATCCTCCACTTATTGGAATTTTTACTAAAATGATTTACTTCTTTGAAAGAAATTTGCAACATAAATAATCTTTAATGAGAGTGAATGAAAAATATTTAAAACCTGCAGAAGGATTTTTCTGTTTAGCAACCCTAGCCATATTTAGCCATAATTAAGCACCTCTCATTTCAGTGGAACTTACATTCATTATTGCAAATTTAAATTTAGTGCATTTTCTCAGTCCAGAAAAATAGGTGGGATTTTCTATAACTCTTGTCCACAGGAGTAACAGGTGAAATGATTAACAATTAAGTTTAATTATATATTTACCTCATTTATGCTACCCTATTTTATTTCTAAGTTCTATGAGAAGTATATCTTAGAGTTATATTTCAAGAATTTAGTGAGGAAATGGGTTTTTTCTGTGTATTTTTACAACTTATGAAAGATAAGTGCAAAGTACATGAACAATTGAAAAAAACATTCATTTGGAAGATTATGACTTTGAGAGTTCTAAAATTATTGGTTTCCTCCTTTTTGTAGTTTGGCCGATGGAACATCCTACCTTGTAACAATAAACTTAAGTTTGTGTGCATGAAAAAAGGAAAAGTTTTAGAGGAACAAAAATCTGATAAGGATTGTTCGCCAAGTAAGGTAAAGCTAGAACAAAAATTTCTGTTCTAAATGAAAGATGAACTTTAATTTCGTATACCTAACATTGTTGCTGCTTCAACAATAAGTTACATTATTATTGAATGTACATTTTATTATTAGAGTACATTTTAATAGATTTGTTCCATAATTCTTCTCATTTCTGTGTTGTGACTATTTCTTTAGTTTGCATCCATTTTATTATACAGTTCTTTATTTGCTCAGTCTCCAGGTAACTAATTATATATATGCCCTAGTAGTTGATATTGATTCTGAATGAGCATTTCAAATTCTGTCATTTTTCTTAAAAGTCCTCCCTCATTTTTGTGGTCAATTTTTCCCCCTCCAGCAATTTGTAAGTACATCAACCTTGATATGTTCCAGCCTTTGTCAAGTAGTTATTGGTATGTTCATGGAATCTAAATGGACTGTATATGCATAATAAATGTACTTTTCGTACTATAGTTAGCTCCAAAATGGAAAGTATTTAAAGGAGAGACCAACACTGAAATTGTTGGACTTACTATTTTTCTCATAATATTTTATTTATTAGATTTGTTATCCATCTCACTTTGAGGTGACTCCATATTTTTACCAAGCTTTGTCTTATATTATGTCCTTTTAAAAATTTCATATCCTTGAACCATAAGTTTTTATGAAGCCTGTTAGTTAGACAGGCTCCTTCTAATGTTAATGTTCTATTGTTTGCAGATTTTATTCATTCTGTTAGTCATGATAAATATTTTGCAATATAATACACTTTAAAGTTTGGAAGAATGAGACACCACTTCTGTCTTTTGAGTCTTGTAAAGTTTAAACTACTAAATTAAACTCCAGGATTTTTCCACTCCATATAAATTTACTTACAGTTTTTTGCCATTCTTGTACATTTTTTTCTGGAATTTGAATAGGTATCATTTGAAATGAATAAATTCTTAAATCACAATTGATTCTAACCAAGAAAGCTTTTAAGTTTTTCCACCTTTCAAGATTTCTTTTAACTTCTGTCTATAATTTGACTTGATTATTTCCTGTGAAATACAACCCAGATATTTCAGAGAAACTATTATTTGGCAGCCAAATTCCTCCCATTGGAAATTATTTTCTTCCTGCATTAAATCTCATGCTTTTTTTAACATTGATTTTATATGCAGAGAATTCTCCAAAGCCTTGGGATATTTTACGTAACTATCTTATTGTATTTCATAGTTCTATGATTTTTACTCTCATTAGTTTTTTACAGATGCTAATGTTTTGACTTGTATATCACTAGTTTAGAAACCCATATGAGGATTCAAGAAATGGGTTTTACACACAGGATGGCCATACGTCCATTGGAAGACTGAAAGGATCAAATTAGGGACAGATCATCAGGGATCTATCTCTCTGGTCACTTAGTCGATACCAACTTTACCATTCATAACCAATCAATTTTGATATCCCTCAAAAAATCAATACATCTAAAGACTAGATAGTTACTTGTCTGAAATGGTATAGGTTCTCCTGCTTGAGCAGGGGGCTGGAATAGAAGTCATTCAAGGTCCCTTCCAGATCCTATCCTATCCTATCCTATCCTATAAAGCTAGGAGGATAACCATTCTCTAGCAATTTTTCCAATTATCTTTCTGTATTTAAACAAGCATTATATCACTGAAAGTTCCAGTTGAAAGTCTGTCTTGAAGTTTCGGCTGCATACGAAAGCGTATGTGTTTCAATTTTACATACAGTTTCTGTTTTAAGGAAACTGTTATGTAAAACTTACATTTTAATGATATGGTTTTATGGCAAGATCTTAAAATGAAATAAATAGCAAGCTGTTTGTGAAAAATAAGAGGGCAGAAGCAGTAGCTCACCATTCCTATCTTACGATTAATGTGATCACTTTATATCCCATGTTGCCTTTACCTTTGAATAAATGATTATCATCCTTTAAATTAGGAATGGAAGAAACATGGAGATTATTGCTATAGGATTGACAAGAATGAAGTCTCCTTTGGAAGCGTGTGCAATCTTACTATAGCAAACAGGTATTGTACAGTGAATGCATAAAATTGTTCAGGCGATGGCTGATTTGCCAAATATTTTTTAAATTAAAAGCAATTTAAATTTAAGAAATTTAAGTTTTCTTAAAGTTGAAAATATTGTGCTATACCTTGCAGAAATATTCTCTTTAATCCTAGCTAAATACATTTTGTACATCTGGTGATAATTATTCTTTGTATTGAATTTCTGACCTTTACAGATTTGAACAAGAATTTATAAATAATTTAATCAGAATGCATAATAAAGTTGAAGAAAAGTACTTCTGGACTGGCTTGCAAGATATCAGCTCGTCAGGAGAGTATAAATGGGGAAGTGTGGATGGAAAGAATGAAATGCTAACATACACAAATTGGGGTTTCTTTCAACCAGGTAAAATATTGAACTTAGAGAAATGCTAATACTTGCTTCATAATACAGCCTTGGGTGACTGTTTTCTTAAAAATATTGCATAAGTAATTGAAACAATAACTTTTTAGAATTTCGCGGAGGATGTGTGGCAATGTCAAGTGGAAGATACCTTGGAAAGTGGGAAGTCAAGAATTGCCAAACATTTAAAGCTTACTCTATTTGCAAGAACTACATTGGACCAAAGAGAGAAGCAGAGATACTGCCAAAAATCACTGACCCTTGCCCACAAGGGTGGTCCAGAGGTTCAGGTCTTGCTTGTTACAAGGTATTACCTCAAGCTTATTAAATTATTATATCCTTTCTGTTGAATTACATTCTCTCGGTTCTTAAGAAAATATACTCTTGTATAGGGTTTCCTGCCTGAGCAGGAGGTTGGACTAGATGACCCCTCTCTTTCTCTCCCTCTCCCTCTCTCTCTCTCCCTCTCTCTCTCTCCCCCCCCCTCTCAGTTTTATAATCCCCTAAACCAGGAGTAGGCAACCTTGGTTCTTTTATGACTCGTGGACTTCAACTCCCAGAACTCCTGAGCCAGCATGGCTGGCTCAGGAATTCTGGGAGTTGAAGTCCACGAGTCATAAAAGAGCCAAGGTTGCCTACCCCTGCCCTAAACTATCTAAGCTTTAATATTAACTCATTGTGGAATGTTTTTCTTTAAAAAAACATACAAATTACTATTATTTGTTACATATTTTCCCAAAGCAAGATTTTAAAAGTATTTTTACATTTTTAAAGCCATAAAAATAAGCTTTTTAAAAAAAGAATGCTTCCCCGAATGCAACTTTTAGATACATACTTTGTTTTTCAGAAATATTTCTGCAAGCAAATCAATTTTGTGTTTATGAATCTTTGAGCAAAGAAAAATAGGTGCTGGTGGGCTTCATTCAGTGCTACCCTTTCTACTGCAACAAATCTATTACATTAAATGTTATGAATTTGCCCTAATACAGATCCATGTTGAATTCCTTTGGCAATTTTAATCTTGAATTATTTTGAGATGGTCTGAGCAGTTCTGTTGGCCTAACTTGGAGGAATTCTGTGGAGTTCCCATTTTTCCCGAAGCTGCCTCTCCCATCCCTTATGTTGGATTCTTCAGAGATAAGAGAGGCTTTCTGGGGGGAAAAAGAAATAAGTGAAAAAGCATTTCTTTCAGTTAGAACTTCAAATGGATGGAATAGCAGTCTTGGGACATGATAACCAACCAAAGAAATGAAGTGATGAAGTTCTGATAAATTTGAAATGAAGCAAAACAGAAATGTTGATAACCAGATTAGAAAGTTCATTATTCTCCAGCATGAGGATGGAGAATCCACGAGTGGGTTGTCTTATTCTTCCTGCTCAAAGTAGACTAAGTCTGGAAAGTTGCCATGCCTCCTGCTGGGCTAGAGCAATCCCAGTTTACGACTTAGTCTCTTGCTCAGCAGGACGCACAATTTTTGGTTCCTTTGCAGACTTAACAGACAGGTTGTATATCCCCTCGTGGATTCTCATCGCAGTGAGTTATTTTTTTCTTTTTCCTTTGGCTCCATTTTTTGTTAAGCTTCCATCTCGGACAGTGGTCTCACTTACCTTACTGTCAGAATCGTGGGAGAGATTTCCAGCTAGTTTCAGGGATCCCCTGGCAGCTGCAGCCTCCCGGTCATCTGGGAAGACTTTCCCACAGTGCGGGTCGTTCCGCCGCATGCAAACGACCCCCAACTGATCAGAACACCGGTGTGCCTCTTCAGAGGGCCTGTCAGGCTCATCTTCTTGAGTTCTCTCACGGGCTTCTCAATTCGTGCAGTTCGGGTTCCCGACCATCTGACCGATTCTAAGCCTCCCAACCATCTGACCTACTTTCCTAGTGTGGAAAAAGCTTTGTCAAGGGCGAGCGGCCCGACTGACAGCGCAGCAACGAACATTCCTCAGGTCCTAGCCGGCTCTGTCAGCATTAAATGGGCCGTTATTTTTGGCATGTTTGGCGCGGCCGCCATTTTGGGCACCATGCGAGCGGCCGTTGGCTTCATTTGATACAGATTGCCGGACCCAGGATCGGACATTGGCTTTTTGGAATCGGGGGCGATTGTTTCTGATTGCTCCCCAGGGCCTCTGTCCAGCGCCTTTGAATTTTCGCCATCAGTAGCTCTATTCAATCAGGGCTGCCGCCATTTTAGGACTTACCTCCTCTGGAGTGGCATCAGAGGCCTACGCCCCTCTCTATAATGTCCTAATTAACTCGATTGGGGAATTCAAGCACTGTCTGACTGTGTGGGGTGTGAGTACTAAGACTCTCCCTCAGAAAGCAGCCTTTATTACTAGGCCCTGAAGCAAAACAGAAATGTTAATAACCAGATTGGAAAGTTCATTAATTTGTAAAAGTAATAGGCATATATGTTTAAAAAAATAATAATATTGTACAGCGATAAAATGAATTTTTTTTCTATTTCCTTACAAAGTTTTTTCACAAGGAAAGAGTGCTGAGAACCAGAACTTGGGAAGAAGCTGAGAGATTTTGTGAAGCTCTTGGAGGACATCTTCCTAGCTTCAGCCACCCAGAAGAAGTTAGGGAACTCCATATGATACTGAGGGAGATCATCAGGTGACGTTCTCAAGAGTTTAGCATTTTAGCGAATTCAACTGACGTCTAAATATATCTTCATGTATTTTACCACGACAGAGGTGATTGATAAAGTAGCCTTATAGCTTTTAAAATGCTTGAACAGTCAAGCAATCTTAACCAATCTCTTAGAGGCATCTTGAGGCGGAGGAAAGAGAGGCAAATGGTTCCTGGGCAGTCCTTTTCAGTGAGAAGGAGAAGTTCCTCTGTTTTTTCCCCCTAAAAAATTTAATGTTATTACAGTGTGATTTCATATTGCTTTTATTATCAACTACAGAAAACTGTTTCAAGGATCAGTTACTGTCAAGAGTTGAATCTTTCCAATATTTATATGTCATCTCTTTTATATGCTGATTACCATTAGGAGTAAGTGTGTCACCATCACCAACATCAAATCTTTCATACAATCAAAGACCAGCATAAGGAGACTGTGTATATTTGAGATTATTTCTAGAAGAAATAAAGACTGTTGGAGACGATGATGAGTGGGCAGAAACTGGTATACTTTGGGGCATAGAGGGAGGACAGCAAAAAATGTAGATACGTAAAATTAGAGATATTTCTGGAATGTCCCTGGAAGAATTGCAGGTTTTTCACCAAGGCCAGACAAGTTAGAGGACATTTGTCTCTATTGAGCCCAACTCAAGGGCAGCTGATTAACTAATTTGCTAAAGAAAAAGATTTGTGGCTGCCAAAGGACCTGCTGAGTTATTGTATTTTTTTTATCTACCGTATATTACTTGGGTAAGCCAAGAATTGTAGGTATCGAAATACATTTCAAAAATCAGGCTTGGCTTTTCTGCAGATGGGCTTATCCGCAAATATGTACATAATACCTTTTAAAAGTACCCCTAATTCCCATATATTTTCCTGGATAAGCCAATCTGTAAATAAATAAATCCACAAAATGTTAACAAAAATATCATTTTAAAAAATGCAGCGTGCTATCAGCAGAGAGCACATTTTTCATGGTATTTTGCTTTAAAATTCCAGAGTTGACTTTATTTACAGATGGACTTATTTGTAAGTCTATATAATACAGTATGTATTTATTTACTGGCATTTATATCCCCCTAAGTGCTTTGCCTTTCACTACATAAATACCACCCAGCTTCTATTTTTGTTTTTTTTGGGGGGGTGACTTCTGAATCTAGATTCTAAACCATTGAAGCCAAGCCCATTTCTTCTTTCTTTGTTTTCTAACTTTTAATCACTTATGTGTTGCAGGCTTTATATATGCAGGTTCTCAGGGGAACATTTATAAAGAAAAGTATATGCAATGCTGAGCCAGCAGATTAGCAAAATAATCTTTCACATACTTTCAGATTTGAGCATCTCAAAGAGCAATTATCTTAAATGACGAAAGTGGTCACCAAATACCTAAAAGTAATAAAACAATTAAGTGGAACATTCCTTTTCATTTTTACTTTTTTATTTACAGTGATGACAGATGGGTCTGGATTGGACTAAATAAGAGGAATCCTGATCTGGGATCATGGCAATGGAGTGATGATAAGCCAGTAAGTTAAGCTGACCATACCTAGAATACTAAATGATCCAATCGTAGGTGGGAGAATATTGGTGAAATTCTGAAGTTGAAAAGCTTTGAAAGAAAAACAGAAAAAGTAAAACAGGCTTTAAATAACAAATAATGTACGGTAGCTTAAATTGGTTATGAAAATGTTCAGAAATTCAAAACCTATGCCATTTGACTATTATTCTATATAAAATTACTTTAAGGAGGACTTGTTTTATTTAGACATAATTACACACATGGAAGACCTCATATAGGGACACTATTGTGATCATTTCTTGGGAAGGGAGGGAGGGAGAAAAAAAGGAAAGAAAGAAAAAGAAAAGAGAAAGAAAGAAAGAAAGAAAGAAAGAAAGAGAAAGAAAGAAAGAAAGAAAGAAAGAAAGAAAGAAAGAAAGAAAGATAATAATAATAAATGCCTACATAGAATTCAGGCTTTCATAGAATGAATCTAAAGTTCTGGATTATGATCAGTAACCAATTCATAATGTGACCTTTAACAAATTAGCAAAGACTTTGTCATGAAATTTCAGAAGATAATCTGGTTCAGTTTACTAACAATATATATCTATTAATGAGTGTTGACAGTACTCTTTTTATGTTCTCAAGATTCCTGTCCCTACAGTACTGGGATATTGTGGCTATTGTTACTAAAACATATTAATTAAAGTTAATAACATAACAGCTTTAAAATCATTCTTCATCCATAGGTCTCTACTGTTGTTATGCCCCTGGAATTTAGAGAAGATGACTATGATCTTCGAGATTGCGCAGCTGTCAAGGTGCATTGTGACATTTTTTGATTACTAACTCCTAAAGAGAAGGAAATACTAGAAGAATCAATGCTATTTTTTGTAAAATAACTCAGTTGACCCAATGCTTGCAATAATTCCTGCAATTTAGACACTTAGACTGCCCTAGGGGATTTTTAACCTGTGCTCAGTTAAATTTTCTTTTTACTATGGAATTGCTTCATCACATTTAGCAGGAAATTAAGTTTTAGATTACAGTCCTAAAAAAAAAAAAAGGTGTGTGTGTGTGGGGGGGAAATACTGTACTGCTTCCACAGCCTGCCTGTTTGAACAGCCTAGGAGAGATGTGTAGGAAGCAAGCTTGCATTACTCTGATGATTTGGGCCTTCTTGTTTTCTCACACACAAGTCACCTTGATTTTGAATGGAGGAAATTAATATATCAGTTCCAGATGGAGCCAAAAACAGTCCTGGAATTTTTAAACAGAATGAATCCAAGGTCGTCCTTGTGACTACTGTCTCATCCCCAAAACACCCTAATCTTATTTCTGGCAGGAACATAGACATAACTAAAATCTCCTGAATGCTTGCAACCTTCTTGCAATGCCCTGGCATGTCCATCTTACTCATATCCTTCCTGAATATCTAATTCAGGGGTCTTCAAATGTGGCAACTTTAAGACTTGTGGACTTCAACTCCCAGAATTCCTCAGCCAGCCAGGGCTGGCTGAGGAATTCTGGGAGTTGAAGTCCACAAGTCTTAAAGTTGCCACATTTGAAGACCCCTGATCTAATTGGTTAAGGCTGCTGTCCCAACCAGAATAAAACAGCCCTTTTCAACTATGTTATATTTGTAAATATTACACTGGAATGCAATAATGTGCATAATATAATTTGTCCTGAAAAGTATAGTAGCAGTGATCCTTTCAATAGGTTGTTTTATTTAGCTGGAAAAAGAAATTCTAATTTAAAGTAGGTATGTACAGTTTTTGACAAATATTTCAAATATATTTGCTTATAAATATATCAAGCATAGCACAGCAATTTGCTTATAAATATATATCAAGCCTAGCACAGCAATCTCATACTTCAGTTCTGAGTAAGTATTGCTTTGCAGTAGTTTAATCCTGTTAAGAGTAAGTCCCACTGGATTTAATGGGACTATTCTCAGCTAAGGGAAAGAACATTTAGCCCTTATCTTACCTGATCCTTTTCTACTTCTGCATTTATTATTCATCTATATCCTGCTTTTACCTATTGGAGATCCAGGCATATGCCTGGAATATTTCCCTTTTGTTGATTACCAGCTGAAAAGAATAACTTTCAAAACTGCTTTTCCTCATCAAGCAATTACCCAGTATTAAATGGAAACATTCTTCTGTAACAACAATATTTGTTGTGGTGGCGCAGTGGTTAGAATTCAGTATTGCTGGCTAACTCTGCCCTCTACCAGCTCAAAGTTGGGTCAGCCTTCCATCCTTCCAGGGTCAGTAAAATGAGGACCCAGATCGTTGGGGGCAATATGCTGACTCTATAAACCGCTATACAGCACTGTGAAGCAGTATATAAGTCTAATTACTATTGCTATTTTTTAGCCTGTAACTAGAATCCCTTGTACATTTAAAAGAAAATTCCGCTGAACACAAGAGATTTATAATAATGAATTAATAAGAAGGAAGGGAATCTTTTTTAACAGAATTTAGTTATGGACACTTGAGAGTTATTACTAAAAGAAATAATGCATATTACCACTGCTTTTCTTTTGTAATTATACAGACCCTTGGACAAAAACGCCGGCCGCCGTGGCATATTTACCCTTATGGAGATAAAGAAGAGGATTTCTACTTAAAACCTTTCCATTGTGATGTAAACCTTGAATGGGTATGCCAGATCGCTAAAGGTAAATTTGGGTTTCAGTTGTTGTTGTTTTTTAGAAAGGGGATCTGTTGTATTTAGCATGGTTCATTCCAGATAAAAGCGTGCAGGATAAAAGCATTAAATTTAGGGTTAGTTTTTCCTTCATTTTATTCAACATGTTAGCATTATGACTGGCCAATTTCCTGTAACTCTAAAAAAATCTGAGTTCTAAAAATACCAGGTTTTTCCCCCCAGACTTTGAGTTAGTTTCTATCTGACTAAGGGTTAAATCAAATGTAGAAGTCCCATCATTGCATACATTATTTCAAGAATGGGTGTATTACATAAAAGCCTTTTCTTTCTTTTTCTGTCCTACTGCTAACCAGTATCAATATCCCCCAACTAGGATTTGGCAGTGTATCCCAGACTTCATGATTTTCCCTGAGTAATCTTATTTCCCAGGCAAGGCTTGGCATAAGTCAATTTGGCAGACCCAATTTGGCTGAATAAGAATTTTTAGTGCCAGCAACAACGAAACCAAACAAACATTGATAGAAAAATACAGATGCCTCTCATTCTTATAGTGGTTCAGATCCGTGCCTTTTTCTTCCTACAAATTAACAGACTCGCATGGTGTCTTTGAAGCAGGGCAATTATTAAAGATATGCTTAATTGCCAACTCTTGATCTGAGAACCACGGGCCCATCATACACTTTCCAAATGTAAAACTACATTTTGACTTTCCATCCAATTTACCTAAAGGGCCAACAATGCTGCTAAACGAAACAGCACAATACGGATGTATCTCAAGCTAGATATTCAAATATTATGTTTTAGTTTAGTGTGCAGCCCAGGGTTTCTCAGTTGGAGTTTCACAGAATCCTAGGATTCTGCGAGAGGTCACTAAAGGTTTCCTGGGGAACCGTGATTTGTTTTTTTTTAAAAAGCAGAGACTGAACAAAATCCCTCCAGCCTCCAACCCTTGATTGGCCCCCTGGAGCCCACATGAACTGCTGGCTGGGGCAGGAATTTTACATACACACACACACACGCACGCACGCACACACACACATGAAAACTGAGGCAGGTGCAATGCTGGGGGGCAGTGTTTTCAAATCATAAATTCTTTTTATGTTTTGGAACAAGATTTTACCAACAAAACAGGCCAATTGATAGAGCAGTGGGGGTAATTTCTTTGCTTTCTCTCTGGCTATTAGTGGAGAAAAAATTAATTCCATTGTATTGAAGTAATTGTCCTCTGAATAATCACATGTATCTTATTCCATTTGCTGCTATTTGCAGTACCCTCTTGGAGTATGATAATATTGTGTCTTTATACAACTCTTTCCAAGAACTCTTTATAGATTTTTGATCAGTTAAATGTTGGATTTTTTTTTAACCACTTGAGTCTGAAAGTGTAGTATTGATAGCAAAAGAAAACCTGCCTTAAACAGAAAGAAGCAGCCCTTGAGATTAGAGTTGCTTTTTAGAATTTAGATTCATGCCTCAATTAGATTCAGTTTTTTAAAATGACTCGAGACACTTTATATGTATGGAAAGTGTTAAATTATTGTTGAATTCAGGTTTGAACATTCCTGTGACAAGTGACACAGCCGAGAGAGACAGAGAGATTAGATATGTAGATACATTAGATATACTAGTGATAGGCTTTTCCTTTATCAACAGGTACTATTCCAAAGACACCTGAATGGTACAAACCAGGTAAGATTATTTCTTAGTTTTCATACACTTCATTGTAGTTGAACTCAGGGACTTTTCTTTCCACAGCCTCATGGCGGTTTTATTGTTCGCTTAATCCCAGTTCAGGTATTGCAGATAGCTGGAATGTGCATGGGAGTTTTTGTGCATTGCATAAATAATATATTTTGTAAAACAGTAGCATTCCATATTGTGTGTGTGTGTGTATGATTGAAACTTGAAATAAGATTTATATAATTGAAATTTGAAATAAGTACTACCTTTATCCAAAAGAAACTTGGCCAAGCTTCAGGAATAACTAGGAAGTTATTCCAACTCTGATTCTGTGACATTGAAGTGTTGACACGTCATGATGTCATTGCATAAATGGTAAGCTCATATCATGATGCAAGTACATCATATTATTTGTATGTGGATGTCACTATGTCACTTATTCCTACTCCACACAGACGCCCATAAGTCACAGAATAATGTATTTATTTGTTCGATTTTTGGTTGATTATAAATCATTAAATCATCAGGAAATAAAAGGCAGAAGTTACAGATAGTGATAATTATCTTCCCGACATGACCATTCATGAAAAGTTTTAGGTGTAACTCAGTCTTTCTTGCACTAGAGAGTTGACCAAAACATGTAATTAGTAAGAAAGTTGGTCAGTTTAATTGTCAAAGAACTTATTGACTTAATAAACTTGTTAACTTTAGCAAAATGATTAATGTGATGAAGTGAGTTGTAATGTTTTTGCTTGAAATCAGACTTGGAGGAACTGAAGTCAGATTCAGTCATTTGTTTCTAAGTCAGATGCCCAGCATTTTTAATTTTGATTCACACGTCCTCCCTCCCCCCACCCCCGTTACATCATGATTCAGATTGTATGGAGTTGCTGGTTCATGTTAGGTTGTACTGAGTATAAGCTTCGTATGTGATTTTCTTTCTTTGTAGACGAAGAAGGAATTCATGGGCCAACAGTGAATATTGATGGGTCAGAATTCTGGTTCGTGGCAAATAAGACTTTGAGCTATCAAGAAGCTTCCATGTATTGTTCCAAGAGTGGAAGTGACTTAGCTTATGTGACCTCTTTCACAGCGCTGAATGGAATTCTAAACACAATTTTAAAAGTAATGTGTTAATTTATATTCATCCCTTTTCTTTGTGGATTTTGATGGAGGGTATTTTTAGGGGTGCATTAACCCGATCAGAGACAAATTACTTTAGTTTTCCATTAAAAAAAAAAGAGCAGGAAACCATGCTGCTGTTGTTCAGTAATTTGTTACTAAAATTCAGCAGTGAGATCTGGGTGACTCGGGAGATCATGTGAAATCTGTGGATTGCTCATATCTGCACTTTGTGCTATAGCATGTCATGTGCATCTCTACTGCTCTATCCATGAATAGATACAACAATAAAAGGTTAATTTTGGGTTGACTATTAAGATATTTTAATGGGGAATTTGGCTTAATTCACTTGAAAGAAGTTATAGAAGGAAGCCAGTTGCCATAATTGAAGCAAACTATGGCTACGTCTTTTCTGGGGGTTTTGTTTTTTGTTTTGGATACAGGTAGTCCTCGACTTACAACAGTTCTTTTAGTGTCTGTTCAGAGTTACAACAGCACTGAAAAAAGTAACTTACGATTGTTTTTCACACTTATTACTATTGCTGCATCCACATGATCAAAATTCAGATGCTTGGCAACTGCCTCATATATATGACGGTTGCAGTGTCCGGGAGTAATGTGATCACTTTTTGGGAACTTCTGATCAGCAAAGTCCATTGGGAATCCAGAATCACTTAACAACCGTGTAACTAACTTGACAATTGCAGTGATTCACTTAACCACTGTGGCAAGAAATATCGTAAAATGGGGCAAAATTCACTTAACAACTGTCTCACTTAGCAACAGAAATTTTGGACTCAATTGTCATAAGTCGAGGACTAACTGTAGTTAAGAGAGTATCCTTCATTCACCCTGAGGCAGTGGTTAACTGGGAAATCCAAGTTCTAGTGCCACATTAGTCACAGAGGACTGACTTTGGGTTGGTATATTCTCTCAGCCCAATCTATCTCACAGATGGTTATTAATGGGTGGCAAAATAGGTCTTGCACTGCATATGACTTAAATATGATCTCATCCAAGTAAGATTACAGAGCTTGGGAAAATCATAGATGGCTTCTTAGTTGGATCAAATTATAGGTTAAGTCAGCATGAATCACATTTACCATAAAGCCAGTCTTATTAAGATACCTGGATTTAATTTCTCCCTCACTTATGATGTGCCTGCATTAAATCTTGCTGGTTTTTTCATTGTCTTCCTTCTAATTTCTTATGTATTATAATACATTGTCTTACGGCATTAGCAGTATTACTGCAGATACTGTGCTGCAGTAAACTTAGCATTTCTCTATTATTATGGTTGTATAAAATGTTTTTACATTGGACATTAGAGTTCCCTAAAAAGCAGTTGAGAAAAACATCTAACTAATCATTAGTCATGAGGGTTTTTGAGCTCTTCTCAAAGATTGCTTCGCTCTCGTGCAATTGAGAAACATTTTTCAGTATTGCATGGAAGAGAGTAACATTGGATATTGCATTTCACGCTAATACAATCTGCTTTTGGCAGTTATCGGATGAGAATCAGAACTGGTGGTTCAAATACAGAATTCCAACAATTCACTACCGTTCGTCGTAAGTAGAAAAATCCATCTGTGTTGTTCAAAAGATTATTTATTTTATGAAAACTATTTACCAAGTGCAATGCTGTATCTGCCACATATGACTGAAGGTCAGATATTGAAATGGTAAATCTCAGGAGTGGGGGTATTTTAACACTACGTTTTGTCCTTAAAACATATTTTTACAATGGCTCAAATGGAAATTCAAGAACAATGGATTGGTTAAAGGTTTGCTACCTCTGTTCCATAAACAGTTGCATATGAGCTAGCGGGAGGCAATATTTTGCAAGATTTAGTGCAAACAATTGTGCTAGTAGCCATGTTTTACACTTTTTTTTGAAAAATTGGCAATTGGAGGCACGCCTTTGAATTTTTATTTTTTGGCTACATTAAGAAAAACCCTTCAATATATGTGGGAGCATATCTCTGCACCAGGTCCAATTTTTATTTTAAAATGCAAATGAAAAAGAAAAACGTGAAAGCAGTTTTGTGTGTATACTTATACGGGACAGCTCATCATATTAGTATCTATTACGAAATAAGTGTAATTGTATTTGTAACTGCGCCATTCTTACAGATTCTTGAGTAGCTTAAAAATAAAAAGTAAAATTTTGTTGGAGTTGAGCTTAACTTCTGTGACCTCAAGAACAGTGGCAATTAGAGGGAAGCTATAGAAATTGTATAAATAAAATAAGTAATCGTCTTTTTCAAAATCTAGCCTTCAGTCATGGTACTCCCTAAGTCTCCCATTCAAATACTAACCAAGCTCAACTCGGTAGGCTTCTAAGCCCAGAAGTAATACCATGTCTTGCAAAAAAAAAACCAACCACTTCCAAAATAGGTTGAACTAAGAGTGTCTTGTCTAGAGGAATGTTATTTCATAAAAATTGAAGGTGTGGAGTTTTTAATCTGGATTAAAGTTGGAGCATTGGTTCAACCATGCTCACCCCTCCTGTCAGTCTCAGCCTGGATTAGTCCTTTTTGCTAGTAGCATCCATCTGTGTGGGTTTGAAAGAGGAAAGATGATAGAAGTGTAGGTAGTCCTTAACTTATGTGCACAAATTGGGACCAGACGTTTGGTTGCTAAGCAACATTGTTAAGCAAGTCATCACGGGACTGGACCCTATTTTATGATCATTTTTACCATGGTATTTATTGAATCACCATGGTGGTTAAGCATATCAAGTGGTTGTTAAGTGAATCACAGTCATTAAGCGAATTGATTAACTGATTGTCAGAAGACAGTTGGGAAGGTTGCAAATTATGATCATAATGACTGCAAGATGCTGAAACTGTTGTAAATTGGAACCGGTTGCTAAGCACCCAAATTGTGATCATGTGTCCACAGTGCGACAGTTGTAACTTCAAGGATGAGTCATAAGTCACTTTTTTAAGGCTATCTTAACTTCGAACCATCATTAAAGAAGTACTTGTAAATTGAGACTTACATGTAGGATCATAATCCAGTCTTCCTGTTTTTCATATCTTGTACATATGAACAAAAAGAGCAGGTCTTTGCATCGGAGGTGTCAAGAAAAATTACCTTTGCTTCTTTCCCTTAATTTTACCATATTACTTTATCATATTATCGTACCATAGATACTGCAATTATGTACATACATTTCATATTTTCATTATTTAAATATATTTGTTTATAAATATATTTATCAAGTATTAAATGTAAGTTGCGACATTTGCATAAAATATTCATTGATCACGGTCCATCATTCTATGCCTGACTATACTGTTTGGATACCACTCTGTGGCTATATGTACCTTGTTTCCTTTTTTAAAAAAAATAAATAATATTCTGTTTGTTTGTTTTTTCTTAAGCTTTTTTTCACACTATTTTGAACACCACCCCAGAAAATGTTGGCATATCTCTTATCGATCCTGGTTAAGAGGTAATAGCTATATTTTTTTAATCAGTTATATTTTTAGAAATGTTCTCAGACTCTCTCCTAAATAAGAAGAGTATATTAGTTTTCCTTTGGGCTTCTTTTTGTGGGATTCATGTTTCCTACTACATAATTTTTAATCTTTTAATTCTGTCAACCTGAGGAAGCAAAGTCAGAAAATATACGTGGTTGCTCTTCACCCTCATGGATCTTTTTGCTTCTATCCTTGTCTTGATTGAAATTGACAGTTTAAAATTTGAATTCTGAAAATAGCTTTTCTGAGGCTCTAAGCTTGTTGCCTTCTATAGGAATTCTGTCAGCCTCCATTGTTCATCCCCTCTCTGTGACACCTTGTTTTCATCCTTTTGGATCTGAGGATTTGGACTGTTCTGATATTTAATGTCCTTCTCTTGACATATTTCATTGCTGACCTTGCAGTTTCAGAACTAAATTAAATAATTGAATATAGTCTGAATAATTGGACATTGATAGCAACTCTTAAAACTTTCAGTCCAACTCTATTATCTAAAGTACTTAACTAAAAATCCTCTGGTTGAACTTGGGATCATCAATAGACTTTGCTTCTGAACCAAGAAGGGATTCTTACCATTCATTAATATGAAGGGTTCTTGGTCCTCTCTGAGCTTAGTTGTTTTCTTGCAGATGTTTCATTACCCAAACTAGGTAACATCATCAATGCTAATCTGGGTAATGAAACATCAGGAAAAAAAAAAACCAAATCAAACTCAGAGAGCACCAAAGGACTCCTCATTTCAACCTTGATCTACAAATATTCTCCTTTATTGATTAATTAATATATTCATTCAGAGTACAATTATGCTAACTGCTGAGGGCTCTGTTTGGTTCAAAGCATAAAACTAAATTTGAAACAAAGGGTATTAAAAACAGCCATCAATTAAAACTCCTATTTTATTGCATACGTTAAACAGGGAAAGGTCTGTATAACGGGGTATCAGCATAACAATTATTTTTTATTCTGCAGGCAGTCCATTGGATTGCAGTTCAAAACTGCCTTTCATTTGTGAGAAATACAATGCATCATTATTGGAGACAAGCAAGCCAGGCTATAAACCACCTCAGGAAAGCTGCCCTGAAAATTGGATTATTTTCCTAAATAAGGTAAAGCATAAATAATTTGGAATTCTGAATATTATATTTCAGTCCTCAGAACTTGCCATGAACTGGTTATCAAACTAGTTGGATGAACATGTAAATATCTGTAATACCTTGCAACTAACAAGCTTGAAGACCCAATCTGGGTCAGTCACTGGGACCAGAGGTTTAGTCTTCCGAGATTTCAGACTTCTGCTGGAGCCTATCCTTAGGCTCTTCTCTCTATCCGCATACTAGTTTTCTCTCTACACATTCCGGTACAGAGAAGTTCCCTGAGGATGGGCTACTATATGAACATAGTTTAAACTGAGTATTCAAAACATTTGTGAAATACCTACGTCAGATATTATATTTTTTTAAAAAAAATCTTTTACAGTGTTATCAAAAGGTGACCCCTCGGAACATGACATTTAGAAAAGCAGACGAATATTGTCAATCTTTAGGAGGGTTCCTTCCTTCAATCAAAAGCCAGATTGAACAAGGTAAGAGAATACATGAGCCGTGGTAGCGCAGTGGTTAGAATGCAGTATTAGGCTAACTCTGCCCACAGCCAGGAGTTTGATCCTGACCAGTTCAAGGTTGACCCAACCTTCCACTCTTCCTACTGAGGTCGGTAAAATGAGGATGCAGACTGTTGGGGGCAATATGCTGACTCTGTAAAACTGCTTAGAGAGGGCTGCAAAGCACCATGAAGCAATATGTAAGTCTCAGTGCTATAGCTATTCCATGCATAGGTCTGTATATCAGGATTCTTTTATGTATACATACATGTTGTAACTTGAGTTCTTGACATTGAATAATATGGACCTGATCCTGAGAAAGGCTTTGTGTATGAGATGATAATGAAAATTCTATTTGTGAACATCCACTGTGGGGAAGACAAATGACAAAATCAGCACCTGCCCTTTTTGCACATTTGTTTTGACATCACAGGTACACACGTAAGGGGCAGACATTCTGAGATATACTATTTGTTCTGCTAAATCTCTCTTTCTTGCATATCTTCCTCTTGGTATAATAGAAAACTCACGTCTTCCATATAAAAATAAGGGATAGTGATTACTACCATTAATTATGTAAGAATGCACTGTAATTTTACAGTTGGTATCATCTCTATTCTTTCAAAATCTTATGAGGTTCCCATTTTTAAAACTGAAACTAAAAGTTATGACAAACTGGGTGTGAATATAAGCATTGTGTTTCCTTACTGTTATTTATTCATGAATTAATCATGATTAATTCATATTATTAGTATGATATTATGAATTATGAATTAATTATAATATTTCTACAGCAGACTCCAAGTGATTTAGAATAAATAAAACAAGAGCAATATACATTCCTATAAAGCAGAGTATTTCCTCATTTTCATAGCTAACAAGAAGATCAGCAGTGATTAATAACACTTCCCCCAAGCTAACTAGAAGGCACTAATCTCTGAATGTCCTACCAAAGGAAGCAAATGTTTGCCATCCTTTGAGTTGAAAAGATAGTGAATAAAAAACACAGCATGATAGTGTTATCTTTATGAAAGAGAATAGAAATGACTGTTCTTCGAAGGAGGAACAATTGCAGACCTCACTGTCTGTGTTTACAAGTAAGTGAATTCAGGCAATGGATCCTTCCAGGAATGTTGTTTTAATATTCCATTAATGAGCCTTAGTATATAATCTATGAGAAGATTGATAAAATCAGGAAATTAACAACAACAAAAAAGGTTCATTGTGTTATATATGCCACAGGGCTGTGGGGGAGGGTCCAAAAAATCAAGATGGCGGCCGCCACCATGCAATCAAAGCTCTGTCCCCTTTTTTTCTTGTGATGCATATTAAAAGGGGCATGGCTTCAATTACATGGTTGCGACTGCCATGTTGAGTTTATTTTTTTATTGCTTTTAAAATAAAGAAAAGGAACAAAACTCTAAAATAATTACAATGCAAATACATATAGCATATTCTTTAAAAAAACATAAAAGTGAAAAAAAAGTTAAAAGAAAGTATACATTATTATTACGGCAGCTACAATTATATATATTATCTCATGTATATATTGTTCAGGTACATATTTATTTCTGATACACTTATATCTTTTTTTCACTGCTATAATTTCTATAAATGAGTTCCATATTTCATTATACAGAGTCCAAATAAAATCTATATCTATAGACAGTTGCCCCATTGGTGGCATATGCGATCAGGTTTTCAATGCATTGAATGAATGGGGCCATACATTTATCTTCCAGTACTACAGTATCAGTCTTTTGACCATAGTAAGGGCACAGAGGATCCATTTACATTGTCCAGTTTTCAAATTCCATGTACATAGTAAGTAAGTAATTCAAGAGATACCATCCTCTGAAAGAAATAACTTTTGTTGCCCAGTCGTATTTATATAGTCAAATATTTCCTCCCAAGATTTAGGTATTTCCTGCCAAGTAATAGGACATTGTAAAAATATGTGTTTTAAAGAAGCATTACTCTTATTACAACTCCAATAAAATGCTATCTTATCTGTACCAATGTACTAAAGTCCAATATATTCTAAATATTATTTTTTGTTGTTTAAATTGTAGTTTAAGATCCATTGACACTCTTGCTAGAGAAGTTAATAAACTCTACTATTGTCCAGGCAATATAGAAATCTCTTAATTCTTTATTCAACTAATTTCTTAACATCTGCATATCAAATTGATTTATCTATAAACCATAGAAATGATACAATTCAATTTCAAATACAAATTGAAATATTTATAAAAACTAAGTTGCTAACAAATGTTGTAGCTATTAATATTGCCATTGAGTTATATCTGATAGATGATATTTTTATTTATAAAAAATAAGGGTGGGGAATACATAAAATAACTACTTTATCTCTTAACACAGTATATACTGAAAAATCATCTTCAGCATCTATCAGTTGTTCCAAAGTCAGTATCCCTGCTTTCATCCATTTTTTCTGTATCACTTTTTCTCAATTTTTAAAGTTGAGTTTCCCCATAAAAAAAAAGAGATCAAATCTTTTTTTAGTCAACATTACTTTCCATAACATTGTAAGTTGACATAATTATTTCCAGAGACACTAGAATTCTAGTATATTTGATCCTAAAATTATACATCCAACCAAGATGATGGTTGGTAGGTAGGTAGGTAGATAGATGATAGATAGATAGATAGATAGATAGATAGATAGATAGATAGATGGATGGATGGATGGATGGATGGATGGATGGATGGATGGATGGATGGATGGATGGATGGATGATAGATAGATAGATAGATAGATAGATAGATAGATAGATAGATAATTATTATTATTATTAATTATATTTCTACCCCGCCCTTCTCCCTGCGGACTCAGGGCGGCTTACAACCATTCAAAAACAAATACACAAATACAAAAATGCCAAACTTAACATGTTAATTAAAATGAAACATTATTCTAAGACCGAAAATTCAATTTATTTTTTTTTTAAATTATTTTAAAACCAAATTAAAATAACCCTTAGGCCAGTCCTGCTAACTTGAATAGCCATGTCTTGAGGGCACGGCGGAAGGAGGGGAGATCCGGAATCACCCGGATCTCTGGGGGTAGCTCGTTCCAAAGGGTGGGAGCTCCAACAGAGAAGGCCCTCCCCCTGGGGGTCGCCAGCCGGCACTGTCTGGCTGNGCGTACCCGGTAGAACGCCCCCCTGGCCACGGCCGTCAGCTGGTCTTCTAGTGTCAGCCGTGGATCCAGGAGGACACCCAGATTGCGCACCCTCTCCGAGGGGGCCAAAATTTCGCCCCCTATAGTCAGCGACGGAGTCAGCTGACTATGCCGGGGCGCCGGCAACCACAGCCACTCGGTCTTGGAAGGGTTGAGCCTGGGTCTGTTTCTCCCCATCCAGACCCGTACGGCCTCCAGGCACCGGGCCATCACGTCAAGGGCATCATTGGGGTGGCCTGGGGTGGAGATAGATGATAGATAGATAGATAGATAGAGATAGAGAGAGAGAGAGAGAGAGAGAGAGAGAGAGAGAGAGAGAGAGAGAGCTTCGGATTTGGAAAACTGAATCCTCCCTAAAGAATTGATAATTGCAATTTTTGTAAAAGATATTCTTGTAATCAAAGAGCCTCATAAAAATGCCTAAACAAGGAGTTGATTTTCTGAAAATAATTTCCAGATATTGAATAGGAACTCCTTTCAAAATATGGGAATAATACTCATTGTGAGACTATTCACCTTTCTCCAAAGATTGAGATTTAATGATTCCCATCTATTGATATCTTAAGAAACGTATGTATATATTTTATTTATATTGCATGTTACTAACTGGGTTTTATCTTTTGGTATGCACCTACCTAGATATTGAAAGGATTTGGGACAAATGCTGGACTGATATTCCTTATATGAATGGATACGCCAATTTTCACTGATTGGCAACAATTCCAATTTGGACCAATTAATAGAGCATCCTGCTATTTTATTGAATGCATCTTATCAATTGGAATAGTATTGTGAGGTTTAGAAATAAACAAAATAATGTAATTTGCAAACCAATTTATATTCTATTGACTTATGTATTGCCATTTTGATTTTATGGGCTGCCCTTATCTGCAAGTTAATTCCTTTACCTGTTTAATCCTAATGTGCAAATATTTATCTTCTTCCCAACAGACTTTATAACATCCTTACTCCCCAGTCTGCCCCCAAATATTTGGATTGGTTTACGTTCCCAGGTGCATCTGCATGTAAGCAAGTGGGCTGATGGCAGTGATTTAGATTATGTCAATTTCCATCCTTTGCTTCAAGGAAAACTAAGAAGAATTCCTTTTGATGTGAGTTGTTGATGCTGTTTTTTTACACTGTAGGCTTTCCCTATAATTTATTTAAAGCGGAAAAAAGTTGCTTTTACTAATGTACTGTAAGTTAGAGGAGAAATGGGAAGTTGAAAATAATAATAATAATAATAATAATAATAATAATAATAATAGTAGTAGTAGTAGTAGTAGTAGTAGTAAAGTTGGAAGGGTCCTTGAAGGTCATCTAGTCCAACCCCCTGCTCAGGCAGGAAACCCTATACCATTTCGGACAAATGGCTGTCCAGTCTCTTCTTAAAAACTTCCAGTGTTGGAGCATTCACCGCCTCTGGAGGCAGGTTGTTCCACTGGTTAATTGTTCTAACTGTCAGAAAGTTTCTCCTTAGTTCTAGGTTGCTTCTCTCCTTGTTTAATTTCCACCCGTTGCTTCTTGTCCTGCCTCCAGGCGCTTTGGAAATAGGAAAGTATATCCCATCCATTTTGAATATTTTGTTTGTAATTGGATAGCTTCTTCAGAAATTTAGGTATAAGATTGGATCATTTATATTATGTTAAATATTGTTTGTAATGTAATTGTGACAGCAGCCTAAGGAATATGATTTTAGTAAAAATCTTAATTATAGTCACAGTGCGTAGCATCACCTAGTCCAGGGGTCCCCAACCCCCCCAGGGCACAGCCCACTACCAGGCCGCGGCCTGTTCGGAACTAGGCCACGCAAGTGGTGGGCGAGTCACATGGATGCAAAACTCCACTTATGCAAGCACAATACGCAAAACTCTATTTGCGCGAACGGGCACACACATGCACCCACCACTCGCACAGAACTATCCCCTCCCCCCCGGTCGGTCGGTCTGCCAAGCTGGAAAGTTTGGGGACCGGACCACTGACCTAGCCAACTGGGGCTGATCTTGGAAAAGCTAAGCAGGGCAGCTGAGTAGGATGGAAGAACATTAGACTAAACTAAGAAAGTGAAAAAATAAAATAAAAAAAGAGAAGGTGATGGCACAACCTTCCATATTTTGATCAAGAGGGTGATGTGGATCTTTCCTATAATCATTGGTTATCATGTGGACCTATAATTATCAGTTTTTACTTAATTTCATTATAATGAAAGGGAAGATAGTGTCACTTTAAAAAAAACCCAAACTAACAGTCATTTCTGTTTTATGACTTCATCTTTTGGTTTCCTGGTTTAGATGGAATCAAAACAAAATCATTTGGTCAGGGTGTTTTTTGAGACAAGGTAGTTTCACAAATCGTGATATGAAATGGTTTCTTTCTGTAAAATTATAGCTAAAACTGAAGTTTTGGATTCAGAACCTAGAGCTTGTGTAAGAAGGAAGCAAAAATTTATTCTGAAGTCAGAATTAAGCTCGGAACATTTTGAGTGGTAACACTGCGGGAGAATTCAGAATAGGTCTCTTGTGTTCTCATTTTATTTCAGGCCTGCAAAAGTGGGTGGAGCAGTAGTCCATCTACCCTAGAACAAAATTGGGAAAGGGAAGGATTGAAGCCAATGATGATTCTTTATTAAAAGAATCTTTAACTAATGAAATTCATAGACAAAGGGGCTTGCCAGCCAAAGGATCTCAAGGATGACGAAAGGAGCTACTCCTCAGCTAACCTCCAATGGCTGGGTTATAAAAGTCCAGCAATAGGAGGGTGATCTTGAAATCAGCTGTTCTACCAAGTTAGTGTCCAATGTGAACACCTGAATGCAATCCTGTCACCTACTGTGAACAACCTCGTGCAGGACCCGGGTCATCAGGAACATGATATATTGTTGGGCAACACTGCATAGCCAAAAGGGGAACTTTTTGTGTACTCACTTTCCCTTGGCTTGTAAGAACACATTATGGATGCCTCTCTTCTCCCTGAGGAAGCCAGTTGGAGGAGCAGGGGCTGTGTGTTTTTGCTTGATAAAGAAAAGTCGGAGCCAGGCCTCTGGCTGCTGTTCCTGCGTAGGATGCAATTATGCACTCAATGTTTCATATCCCTTCAGGTCTTCAGTTGGTAAATGGTGCCAATTCTCATTCCATCAAAGCTTTTCCTTCCTGATTGTTGCCTATAGCAGGTGGGCAGATCATTACACTGCTTCATTAATTAAACAATGTCTTGGTAATGCCACACTTGGAATACTGCATCCAGTTTTGGTCACCACGATGTAAAAAAGATGCTGAGACTCTAGAAAGAGTGCAGAGAAGAGCAACAAAGATGATTAGGGGACTGGAGGCTAAAACATATAAAGAACGGTTGCTGGAATTGGGTATGTCTAGTTTAATGAAGAGAAGGACGAGGGGGGGACATGATAGCAGTGTTCCAATATCCCAGGGGCTGCCACAAAGAAGAGGGAGTCAAGCTATTCTCCAAAGCGCCTGAAGGCAGGACAAGAAGCAACGGGTGGAAACTGATCAAGGAGAGAAGCAACCTAGAACTAAGGAGAAACTTCCTGACAGTTAGAACAATTAACCAGTGGAACAACCTGCCTCCAGAAGTGGTGAATGCTCCAACACTGGAAGTTTTTAAGAAGAGACTGTACAGCCATTTGTCCGAAATGGTGTAGGATTTCCTGCCTGAGCAGGGGGTTGGACTCGATGACCTCCAAGGTCCCTTCCAACTTTTTATTATTATTGTTGTTGTTGTTGTTGTTGTTGTTGTTGTTGTTGTTGTTGTTATTATTATTATTATTATTATTATTATTATTATTATTATTATTAAAAAGTGTCCAGTAATGATGGGATGGAAAATGGAATCGTAGAACTTAGAATACTCTGTCCATTAGAATATGCTGTCCATTTTGATTTCAGCATATTTTCCACACCACTACTAGTTAGAACATTAAACCACAATAACTTTAAAAAAAAAAAACCAAGACCCTGATCTCATTCCGGTAGCTATGTTAGAATGCAGGAGGTATGAGTATGCTGGCAAGCCCATTTTACTCTTGTGAAAGCTAGATGTATAATTTAGCAATCCATCCAAACATTCCTGTTTAATTTGATTGTATCAAGGATTTCAATCATATTTGTTTATGGGACATGCCAGTACTGGTAATATAATGTCATATTTCTTTTCCTCCTCAGGCATTTAATGAGGAAGGGAATAACCTGTGTGGTGTTTTACTAAATAATCCCAAAGCTTATGTAGGAACTTGGAATTTTACTTCTTGTGCTGATACTTTGCCTTTGGCCATTTGTCAGAAGGATCCAGGTACGTGAGTGGAGAAGTACAGGTTTGAAATACCTGCTTTTCACTTTAACTGGCATTTTAGATGACCAGATAGCTCAGTCAGTACAAAAAATATTTAATATTAGAAGATCGACTTGTAAATCTCCTGACTTTGTTGGATCCACATTAGCGAACTAGATGGTAAAGATCTAAAAAATTTTTAAAAAATAGCTCACTTTCTTTGGTAAGATTTGGTTACTTTAAAAGTAATTCCCAAATTAAATATATCTTGGATAAGAGCTATTATGTAACACTGTACTACTGGCTTTCCAAGCAATGTTTTACTTTTGAAAGCTTCCTGGTACAATCTTGGATGACACCTTCTTGAAGGAAGGAGAAATATTCTTCCTCTTATGCCCCAAAGGAATGCTTTTTAGTATGATGCTCGTCATTAGATGTCCTTTATATGTATTTAAATTTATTTCTAGAGAAATCGGACTGATTAATCTGGATCATTGGCTTCGTATATGAGTTGGATTAATTTAAGTGATTCATTGAGATTCAGCATTACAGTCCTAATCTTGCTAAGGTTCAATCAGTCTTCAGTCAGAACTGAAGAAGCTTCTTGGATGAGAAGCGAAACGTCTTCAAGGAAAAACAAAGACTAGTTGCCTTTTGAAAAAGCACTTTTGGGACAACCATGACCTGGATGACTGAAAATCTCCATAGACACTAATCTTACTAAGTCGCCCAAAATACAATGTGCTCTAATACAGAGGCCCCCAACCTTTTGGTGCACCAGGGACCAGTTCTGTGGAGAAAGATTTTTCCACGGACCAGAGGGGGCGTGGTTTTGTGTGCTGCCTGCATCCAGTGGATGGGGCTTCACTTGTTTGCGTGGTCCGGTTACTGATATGCCGTGGCCTGGTGCCGGTCCACAGACTGGGGGTTGGGGGACCCCTGCTCTAATATTCCCTGAAGAGAAAATGCTGCTCTTGAAAACAAAATTCTTTATTGTATATTACTTCATTTCCTCTGTTCAATTGCTTATTCTTCTTCTGCAGTTGCTGTTGAAAACCAGACAACCCAAGTGCCTGAACATACCATGAAATACCTAAATGTCACCTACACCCTAATTCTGAGGAACCTGACTTGGTTTGATGCCGAGGAAGAATGCCTGAACAGCAATATGAGGCTGGTTAGCATTACAGAACAATATCAACAGGCTTTTCTTGGTTCTCAAGTGGTTCTCCACAACCAACAGCTCTGGATTGGGCTCTCTAGCAATGATGTAAGGTTCTGCTTTCCCTTTCAAACATACTCTTGAAATAAGAAATATTATGATAAAATGAACAAATATATTTTAAATAATACCTGCAAAATAGGAGCTCTAGGGCTGCCGAGAGTGCTGAAACAAGTTACAGATACATGTCTCATAAATACCTTTTTTAGAATGTCCTAATGGTCGCTGTAAATTCTTTTTGTTCCTTTAAATTGTGGGCAATGCATTTTTTTAAAAAAAGAACACCCTTTCAAATCCAGCGTCGTGGGAACATCCACATTGCTCAAGAGCAATTTTACCCAAAACGGTACTTTCTGGGTAGATCTTCTTTGTTGCTACCCTCTGGAATAAGATTCCACAAAAATCTGTGTGGGTCTATCCTGTTGACATTCTGTAAGCCCTTGAAGACGTAGTTCTTCCAGGCCTGGATTAAGATGGATGAAACCCTGGTCAGATGTGCTTTTCACTCTATTTTTGTATTAAGCAACAGGATTTCATTATTGTTTTGCCTTGTATTGCATTTTATTGCATATTTTATTGTGATCTACCCAGAGTTGGTTTGGAGTCAGCCAACGTGTAAATTGAAATAATAAATAAATAAATACCGTTAACTACAAATTGATGTATATAATAAGGGTGTGCAAATCAGCCAAGATGTGATTTTGTTTCAAGATTTGATTGTGGTAAGATTTAAATCAAATTTGAAATTTAAGATTCAAAAGCAACAATGTTTGATTTTAATTGTTTTGAGATTCTGTTCAGTAAATTGCTTGGAGGCGAAAATGGAGAAGCACCAGAGCACTGAATGTGCTTCCTTTTTGGATAGAATGTCTAGAAAATAAAAGGGATGCTCAATTTCTTAGACATTTATATTAAAAATGACAAAGTTTATGCTGCATAACTTTGGGGGTTTCAATTAAATCCTGGAAATATTCCCCCCCCCCTTTTTAAGCCAAGGATCATAGGGATAAGGAAAAAAAATACCCAGCTTTCATATTATCCAGCAAAGGTCTATGTGAGAAAATGTGTTGAACAATTCAGGAAGTATCATATTCCAGCTTAAATATAAAAACTTCCAAAAACAATTAATCTCTTATTAAGTTCACAGAGTGCACCAACCCCTGAGCTCTTGTTCTTCTAAGCTGTCAAGCATTTGGCATGGCTAATTTGGCAAACTTGACCTCCATATTTTTGTTATATTTTTTTTGGTGTCCATCCGAAAACTACTCACTTGAATTTTTAAGTTCATTATTTCTTGTCACAGCTTCTAGAACAGGCTAATAGTTTGTTTTATGTAGCTAATCTTTCTACTTTCTGATGTTACTAGGATGGAACACATTATCAATGGTCAGATAAAAAACACATTAGTTTCAGTCGTTGGTCTGAAGAAGACAAGGATTTGGTTGATGACTGTGTGTATTTGGACACGGATGGATTTTGGAAAACGTCTGAATGTTTCGCAGAAAAACCAGGAGCAATTTGCTACTTACCAGGAAGTAAGGCTTCTTTCATTACTATATATGTCATGAGTCTACAGTTTTGCATTGGAAATGTTTTTGAAGATATTTTAGGCCTTTAAATTAGAAATGAAAATATACATATAGCTATACAAAAACATAGAAAATAAACTACTGTATATTATATATGTATAGGTAGTCCTCGACTTACGACCACAACGGAGCCCAAAATGTCTAAGCAAAACATTTGTTAAGTGAGTTTTACTCCATTTTACAACCACACTTGTTAAGTGAATCACTGCAGGTGTCAAGTTAGTAACCCGGTTGTGAAGTGAATCTGACTTCCCCATTGACTTTGCTTGTCAGAAGATCGCAAAAGGGGATCACGTGACCCCGGGAGATTGCAACCGTCATAAATATGAACCAGTTGCCAAGCTTCCGAATTTTGATCATGTAACCGTGGAGATGCTGCCATGGTCATAAGTGTGAAAAATAGTCATAAGTCACTTTTTTCAGTGCCGTTGTAACTTTGAACGGTCACTAAATGAATGGTTGTTAAGTCAAGGACTACCTGTACTTAAAATTCCACAGCTACCCACCAGTGCTTTCATAAATCTTAACTGACTGCAAACCACTCAATTTTTGGCTTTTGAATATGGAATAAGTTTTAAGGGATTTATTTACCTTCTCTTTCTTCCCTTCTCTGAAATAAATCTCCACTTCTCTGCCAATTTTTTTTATCATCCGTTTCCTCATAAATCAGAAGGCCTGATGTCTTGAATGCTGTGAATGTGTGTCTGTGTGAATGAACGTTAGATATGGTTGCAAAGGTGAATCGTTTTTTTCAGTATTTTGAAACTGTGTTATTCTCATCCAGCCAGGTCATCTCTGCTCAGGCCTCTCTGTTCCCAAGATAAAGGTGTTGAGACTAGCTCAGCTTGCTATCAGGTTTAGGCTCCATATTGTAAATATATTCACACTCAGAGGAAGAATTTATTTTTGGGAGAGAAGGGGAACTAGTACAACTGATTATAGTTTTATCTGCTGTGAGTTCCAGCCAAGGCCAATCTGGTTCTAACCTTCTGATAAGGCCCTGAAGGCCTTAAAAAGGAGTCTCAAGAACTCCTGTGAAGGAGGAAACCGATGTGATGGCTTGGGAAAGGCTGATACAGCTGTTGAAGGGGAAAACAACTCTTATCTCGCACCCAGCTCCAAAGGACAGCTCTGGAGATAATAAGTTAATCTTATTGGAGACCTTGGTCACTCACATTTGTGAGCTATTTCATATAATGACCAATGAATCAGACGTATGCTTAACTCTTCCTGGTTCTGTACTGATTTTTAAAAAATTTATTTTGGCCTCTGGCCTCAATTGTGGATGTACGTAAACTCATTGCCTACCTGAGAAATAGCAAAATGCCTGTGGGGAGGAGAGGCTAATGGACAACTTGATTTCTTCCAGAGCTCCTAAAACTAAATTCTGAGTAGGGAGCCACTGTGCTGGCACCGTTTTTCACTCGCATCAGTTAACTCTTTATAGATGCCTAAAAAGAAGAACAGAACTGATCCATAGCATTATCAATATGTACAAAAGTCTAACTTGGTCAACTATTAGATTCTAGTACATTTACATTAAAATACTAACCTTTCCCCTTATTAGCGGATGTTGGGCCTTAATGCTTTTTATACAAAGGGGAATCAGTGTAGCAAAATCTGGCAAAGTTGTAACATTTTGCACCTTCAATGTTGCTATTAGAAAGTGTTTGGTCTGATTTATGCATAGGAAAAGTGTTGACAGATATGCTGCTTTATGAAAGCAGATTACTTCTTATAATTCTTGTCTTTGTTAAATTGCTTGTTCTGCTTTCTGTGTCAACTTTTGGTATGTGAGTATACAGCAGAAAACAAATAAATACAAATCTAGCTAGCCTGAGAAATACTAAAACAGTGGCATTTGATGGATGGGGATATGTCATAAAAGTCAAGATGACAGTTGAGGCAGTCCAATCAAAGCTCACCCTTTTATACATGCACATATAAAGGGGCTGGGCTGTTATCACAATAGTGTCACCACTCTCTTGATTGTGGACTTCCTTCCACCAGAAATCCTTGCATAAGGAATGCAAAGCCATAGATACAGAAAAGAATGAGAATACATTTAGTTATTTTACCAGATTAGCTTTTTTAAGTCCACCTTTATTTCTTTAGAAGTAACTCACAGTGGCAAATATACATAACACTCCTTTCTTCTCCTAGTTTCGCCACAACAGCAATCTTGTGGGGTGGGGTGGCCTGAGATTAGATAGAATGTGTGCGTTTGTGAGCATGTGTGTGCATCTAAAGAAAAGGAAACACAAGTGATTCTCATCCCATTCAAACCATCATATTTAGTAATTCTTTGAGTCTCAACTGGAAATGCCCTTGGGTTTTTGATATCATTGCCCAAGGGCCATTCCATCTATTGGAGAAAGATAAATAATACTGATGACCTTGATTTTATAAGATGAATTTTAACATTCTGATACTTCTTATTTTGCATTCTCATTCCTGGTAGTCAATTTTTTTTCCCCTGTGACCACAAAATAATGTCATCAATGACCATGGTGCAGTCAATGCATCCAGTAATTCTCAGCTGATGAAAGTTGCATTCTAGTATTAAATACTGAATGTATTTCAGATATTAAGACTTGCCTTTAAAAAGAGTTTGTTTTTCAGATGATACTGAAAACCAAGATGTATATCAAGAATCAATTAAATGTCCACACAAGATTAAAAATACGCCATGGATAGCATATCGAAACAGTTGTTACACATTCGTAATACCAAAAAATACATGGAGAGGATTGAGAGCAGTTGAAGCTAACCATTTATGCAATATAATGAGTAAGCTGTTCCTCTTTAAAGTCTGTTCTGATTTTTTGGTGTGTGTTCAAAGACTTTTTGAAGAACATTTTTGGACCTGAGGCACCTTAATTTTGCCTATTACTGTGTTTATAACTTGCTACATGCAAAACTGTCAATTTTCAACTGGGCAGTACATGGAGAAAGCTACCCATATTTTTTTAATGTAACTGTTTAGAGAATATACATTTTATAATATTAGAATACCCTGTGACTCATTTGACATAATAAAACTAATTGTTGATCAACTTATATATCTTGTTAATGTTAACCTCAATCAAGACATTTTCTTGCTAGTTATGATTAAAAGAAGTGACTTCTTAGACACTCGCTTCTCCTCTCATTAGCGAAAGAAGCTTCCTAAAAAAAGTTTCCAAGTTGCAATATTTAATGAAATGTAATATTTGTATAATAAAAATGAAGCCAAAATTACTGAACTGTAAGAATAATCATTTAGTTCAACATCCCGTTTCTAAGACTGGCAGGACAATTCCTACAGCCAAATTATGCACAGATCAACAGCACCTCTGCTGTTCATTCATTACTTTCAACTGGAGGCTATATCCACCAGTAATGAATAAAGTAATAATAGTAATATAATAATAATAGTAGTGATGATGATGATGATGATGATGTTGGAAGGGACTTTGGAGGTCATCTAGTCCAACCCCTGCTCAGGCAGGAAACCCTATACCATTTTAGACAAATGGCTGTCCAGTCTCTTCTTAAAAACTTCCAGTGTTGGAGCATTCACCGCTTCTGGAGGCAGGTTGTTCCACTGGTTAATTGTTCTGTCAGGAAGTTTCTCCTTAGTTCTAGGTTGCTTCTCTCCTTGATTAGTTTCCATCCGTTGCTTCTTGTCCTGCCTTCAGGTGCTTTGGAGAAGTTGACAACTATTTTCTGTGAATTTCCCATAATGGCCTTTTAAAGTTCTATAAATGATTGCTCCACCTTCTGGCATGGAATTCCACATATTAATTGCCTTCAGAATTTGCTCCCATTCTTTTTCTACTGAATTTTATTAAATTGTGGAGTTTGGGAACAGAATGTATTCTTTCTCTTGTTTTGAAAATACAATCCGTTTTAATAATTGCTTGAAGCTATATTATTTTTCTTAGGAAAGTCCCTAGTCAGATGTTGCTTGTAAAACACTTCAGGTGTTTACATCTTTTCCAGCTGTACATATCTATGTTTAGCTACATATTACAAATATTTAGGAAGTTGTAATTCTGGTTATTGTTTCTTAACTTTGTCTAACATGGAATTTGCTACTCCCATTATACAATAAAGTGACTTTAAGATCTCTTTCATGGACAGTGGTACTCAGATCTGATCCTTTGCTTAAATCTTCTAAAAGATATTGTTATAAAGTTCTCCAATTGCATTCCGTGATTTATTTTTTAACATTGCTTCAACAGATTCAGATGCATCTCTTTTGAATATCAGGGATGAAGATGAAAATGATTTTATTCTTGAGCAGTTTCAGTCTTTCAGTGGTCTGGCTCAGTGGATGTGGTTGGGTTTGCTTTATGACACTAAGGGTATGTTGGAAGTTATTTATTGGTTCCTTGCTTTCTGAATTTACAGAGGGACTACAATAATTTTTATATTATTTGGAGAAAATTGATGTGCCAAAAGAGTTCAGTGTTTCTTTTATTATATTGTAATCAGAAAATGTTAATTTTGTTTTAGTTAAAATTGTCAACTGGGTGTGAATGGAACTCCAAAGCCAACTTATTTTTAAATATTTTACTCTTATTTAAGATTCTTTTAATTATTGCATACTACAACAGTGGCCTAAAAGAGCGATAGGTGGATAAATAGTAATTAACTTGCATTTCTAAAAATAATTAACATTCCTGTGAGTATTATAAGTGCAATTTAAGAATAGTTCAAATGTAAAAATGTTCTGTTTCAAAATCTTTCAATAAATATGCACTTAATACAGGTAGCCCTTGACTTACAGCAGTTCATTTAGTGACCATTCAAAGTTACAATGGCACTGGAAAAAGTGACTTACGGCCGTTTTTCACACTTACGACCATTGCAGCATCCACTTGGTCACATTTTCTAAATTCGAATGCTTGGCAACTGATTCATATTTATGACAGTTGCAGTGTCCTGGGGTCATGTGATCAGCTATTGTGACCTTCTAACAAGCAAAGTCAATGGGGAAGCCAATTCCCTTAACAACAGTGTTACTAACTTAACAGCTGTAATGATTCATTTAACAACTCTGACACGAAAGGTCATAAAATGGGGCAAAACTCACTTAACAAATATTTTAACTTAGCAACATAAATTTTGGGCTCAATTGTGGTTGTAAGTTGGGGTGTACCTATAAAAGGGCAGGGCTCCTGATTTTTATTGACCTTTGCCCTTTCAAATTGAGTTAATATTACCAAGGTGGGGTTTTTTCAGCCCTTTCAAATTTTCAGATCCAGTTGATGTCACTTGATATTGCTTATTTCCCCTCCAAATCATATATTTTCCTCTGCAGATAATCTTCTGAAGTGGTATGATGACACATACATGTCATATAACAACTGGAGAATGGGACGACCTAACATCAAGAATAACTTCTTTCTTGCTGGCATTAACCTGGATGGCTTCTGGGATATTTATGAACATTCGAAAAACAACCAGTTATATTTGCACTTCAGTTTAAATAGCATCCTGGTCTGTAAGCTAGACATGGGTAAGAAATACGTCTTGGACTGAATTTCAAATTATACTTCTTTAAGCAGGAACGGGAACGCAACATCTAATTTATTCATTGTCTTTAGAGACCAAAGTCAGCCAACTTCCGCTTCCTGAAAAACTGCCCTACAAAAATAACGTCTACTGGATTCTTCAAAAACAGCTCAATTGGTATGACGCGTGGAAAGAATGTAAACAGAAAGGAAGCGATTTAGTCAGCATTCATAGTATTTCCGAACAAGTGTTTCTGGAAGACATTGTAAGGCGTGATGGATTTCCATTGTGGATTGGTTTATCTAATCATGGTGTAAGTTGAGTCAGAGACTCTTAGCCTATTTTTCACATATGGTTGATTCTTAGATCTATTTACCATATAGAAATAAGTATGGTATTTAACATTCTTCCATTTGTGTACTCCCATCTTTTATGCTTCATTCTTTTCATAGAATCAAACCACCAGATAATTTTGATTTTGGGATTTCAAGCCTCAAATGATATCCAATTATACCCAGTCTTTTTCAGTGTTACTACCTAAACATCTTTCATAAACTTAGTTTTTGTCAGAACTAATGTTCCATGTTCATGCAGCTCAAGTTCCAATCTGCGTGTCGAGGTTCCGATCAATAAGACCAAATAAATCAGAACTCCGAGGCAGGAAAGTTTCTCAAAGAACATGTTTATTGGATAAATAATACCAGCATGTTCAAAAGTGAAAACAGATCTAAACTTTCCCTCCAAGAATCAAAGTAATTCAATGTAACAATTCCCACCCCTCTATTCATGCTACCCAATAGATCACCTTGGTGGGATTTCTGACTTGAACGATCCTCCTCCTTCCCTCCGGCATGGGAATGACCTTGGTTCCCACAAGAGTTGCTCATGTTTAGACTAACAGAAATACCATCTTCCCCCCTCCCCTTCTTGTGGCAATCTAGAACAAAAAAAAATGGCTGCAGCCAGGTTCGTTGTAGAGTTGACACTGTTCCAGAGTCTAGAGCAGTGATGGCGAACCTTTTAGAGACCAAGTGCACAAAAACTGCCCCCCACCCCTGTCCCTGCTCCGCCCTGACCGCTGGCCCACCCACCACCTCCCCACTCCGCCAGAGATCACCCAGGCAGCCCAGTGGCGCCATGGTAGCCACACCCTCCACCCATGCCCCACAGCATCATCTGTGCATGACGGGGCGCAAGGGCGGAGTCTTGTCCCCGCTGCCTGGCTACCATGTCCTTGGCTGCACTGCTTCGCATGGGCTGCGTCTGGGGGCAACTCTCCTCCAGGGGGGGCTGCTGGTGAGGAGGGGGCTGTGGGAGGAGGCAGGGCTGGGGTGACGGTGTGTGTGCGCCCACAGGGCTCCGAGTGCTGCCTCTGTCACGCGTGCCATAGGTTCACCACCACTGGTCTAGAGTATGTTTTCCATGTTAATTAAAGTTATCAAACTTGCCCCCTTCTCTTGAGCTCAGTGGGGAGCTTTTAGAAGTTTAATTGCCACACTCTATGGTGAACCATATCTGATGGAGAGGAGGGCAGTCATAGCTGGGGAAGGATGAGTTAACTCTTTGGTCACTGCCAACACAGCCTTGAAAACACACACACACACACACACACACACACCCATGTGAGATGGGAGTGCTTTACTCAGGAAGATGGAAATGAGCAGAAGAGAACTTGTTACTGCTTTTCAAAAAAAAATCATGGCATGGGCTTTGTATATTTGGTCAGAAGAGAATAATATATAACTGCTTAGCTCTGCATCTGAAATATGAATCTGACTGACAGATGGAGACTATGCTAAGAAACTCTTCCATATAAGATTGCCTGGTTGATAAGTTCTCCAGAGGAGACCTTATTCACCGATCCACATTTGGAAATGAGTATAATCACTATGGCTTGCACTATTTTAAAATATTTCTTTCTTTTTTTTTTACTTACTTATTTTACAGTATTTTTACAGTATGCTCCTCATTTTGCAGGTCTTTTGGCAAGTCACAATAGTAATCCATCCTCAAAGAACTTCATAGCATTAAAATCAGTTAAAGGGTTATTAAACTTAAATTCTTAAAACCAGAATAATTAGCAATTGATAGAAAATAGGGAATAGACACCTACCTTCCATTAACATTGCATGGGCTCATTATGGACTTTTTCTGCCAATGAAACAACGCTCTTAGAATTTATTGACCTGCCATCCTAAACTTATTGTAATCTTTTATGATTAAAATGAATGCCTCTTGCTATTGTGGGTGTGTTTAGGACCACAACATCTCTGCTGTAGAAGCTAAGGTTTGTATATCTCTGCTCATGCTACTATGCTATTTTGCAGAGATTAAAAAGTTGGAGGGGAAAAAAATCTGATCCAGGTCTTAATCAGTAAGATAATGAAACGTTAACTCTTTGCCCTCCTCCATAAAACATAGCTAAGCATCTCCTAGTTGGCGTTGGCCTTGGAAGAAGAGCAATGAGTTGGCTTTTCAGCCCATGTGGGGTTACTCTGGGTTGGGACCTTGAATCTCCACGCTACTCATTAAAACAATTGCTAATTGCACTAGTGTTGCCAAGTAAACTAATTCCCTGAGGGCTCAGTTCTCAGAATACAGCCAAGCACAGCTGAGTTCATATGTTACGGTGAATATTAGAAAAGAATGTTAAGAAAGAGTCTGAATTTGTCATCAGTTCAAGTCATAGCCATTTGCTCTCTAGCGTTTGCTAAAATCAAGTGTACCATCAGTATTGATCAACAGAAGTTGCACCTTCCCTAGGGAAATGATTCCGATTTTGAGTGGTCTGATGGAAGCCGGTTTGACTACCAGCCTTGGGAATATCAGCATTCTCATACTTTTGGAAACTGTTTTGCTGTGGACACTAAAGGAATTTGGAATCGCAGGAAATGCACCTCTCGAGGCGACGGTGCTATCTGCTACTCTTCTTCAAATAGTAAGTATATATTCCTATGTTATTTGGTTCTTTTCCACCTAAGAAACTACAAAACAAAAGAATGGGCGTTTTCTCCTATCCCATGCTGAATATATTTCCTTGGAGGCCAGCAGATCTTAACCAGATAGCAGGACAAGATAACAGTTTTCAGCTTGTAAAGAGGCCTCGAAGAGCATAATAAAAATAAGACAGCTCTTGTTTTCAGGCTGCTAAAAAGGACACGGCACAGAATTTAAAAAGGGGAGGCAAACAAGAAAAGTTGGCCTTAATAGTTTTTATTGGAATTTGCCAGTTAAGATGGAAATATATTGCTCAAGTGGCTAATTGCTTCCTCTTCCTTCGTAAAAGTAGGTATTCCTGCTATTATTCCTCAGAGGTGGCCTTGCAGTGCTACTGAGGTAGGGTTGCAAAGCCACCTCAAGAGGCTTTCATGTAACACTTTTTCATAAAGATTATGATTCATTGCATAGTCGGCCAGATGTTCAGACTAGATTTGGCATTTTTATCCACCTATCGAGTCCTTCCCGAGGACCTGCGATAGGCAGATGTGGATGTTTGATGGTGTTAAAGGTACCGTCGCAGGATGTAAGCTGTTCTAAATAAAGCTGCCTTTTGCCTTTGACCGATGGTGAATTTTTCAGTGATGATGGTGTTAAAGTGGTGCTCCAGTTAATTTGGGATTGCATTCAAGGTGCCTATTACTATTGGTACTATTCAATTTGTTTGGAGAATTACCTAGTAGTATGGACAGTTTAGCCCAGGGCTTTTCAACCAGTGGTACGAGTACCACCTGTGGTACATTGGCACCTGGCAGGTGGTACCTGACCATCCTAGAAAAGTGGTAGCAGGGGAGGGGAATGAGCTGAACCTGGCAGCATCTGAGCGAGAGATGGCTGGAGCTGCAAGGCTGTCAGGGCTCAGCGGAAGCACCAGGATCAGCAATTCTTCAGGACTGTCAGGGCTCAGTGGAAGCACCAGGATCAGCGCCAGGGTCCAGCTGGAACTCGGCGCTGATCCTGGCGCTTCAGCTGAGCCCAGAAGAAGCACTGATCAGCTGGAATGTTGCAGCATCTCCAGGGTCTTGTGATTTACATTCAGATGCTTGGCAACTGATTCATATTTATGACGGTCGCAGTGTCCCAGGGTCATGTGAAGTGACCAAAACCTGCTGCAACCACCCAGCAGACGGGGGGAATAAAAACCAAACATCCCCCCACCCCACCCCCGCTGCCAATCCTCAACAGAAATGCTCACAACAATGAAAACCTCAGACAGGAGGAAGAGCGCCGCTGGGCGGGTAGGCAGGTGTCTTGCTCGGCTATGGTTTGGGGGGCACTTTTTTCAGTGCCATTGTAACTTCGAACAGTCACTAAGCGAACTGTTGTAAGTTGAGGACTACCTGTACTTTATCACTTTTTTCCTTTTTTTTTTTTTTTTTGGTCATCAAGTTTTTGACACCTTTTATTATTATTATTAAATTAAATTTATATCCCGCCCTTCTCCTTGCGGACTCAGGGCGGCTGACAATCGATTAAAAATACACAAATGACAATTACAGGATTAAAATTAATTAAAAAGAAATATTTAAGTATAGTCTAATTAAAATATAATTAAAACCCCTCTAAAAATTACCCTAGGCCAGTCCTGCAAGCTGGAACAANCGATGCCATGGAGCGCTTTAAAGATGATAGTCAACACCTTGAAGCGCACCCGGAAGGCCACAGGCAGCCAATGCAGCTCGCGCAGCAGCGGTGTTATATGGGAGCGTCGAGTCCCTCCCAACACCGCCCGCGCGGCCGCATTTTGGACTAGCTGGAGCCTCCGGGTGCTCCTCAAGGGGAGCCCCATGTAGAGAGCATTTGCTAGGTGACTGGTGGTACTCGGATGTTGCCATATCCTAAAAGTGGTACAATGGGTGAAAAGGTTGAAAAACCCTGGTTTAGCCCATTTTGAGCCGTGGTGGCACAGTGGTTAGAATGCAGTATTGCAAGCTAATTCTGCTGATTGCCAGCAGTTTGATTCTTACTGGCTCAAGGTTGACTCTGCCTTCCATCCTTCCGAGGTCGGTAAAATGAGGACCCAGATTGTTGGGGGCAATATGCTGAGTCTGTAAACCACTTAGAGAGGGTGTAAAGCACTGTGAAGTGGTATGTAAGTCTAAGTGCTATTGCTATTTTGGCAAGTAGGCCACCACCACAATCAGAGCGCAGTTTTGCCTCATGCAATTCCATCATATTAGCTACGTTTTCCTAATCTAGAGTCAGTTTTACTTACCAACATGTTTTTCCTACATATGACTAAGTATGAAATGCATGACTGTTTATTTGATTTCATGGAAATGTTTGTAGTGCTGTTGCTAAAATGCTTACCATTTCAAATCTTCCCAGGATTTTAACAAGTTGACCTTTTGTGGGCATGCAGAAAATTTAAGCCATAAGAGATTCAGGCTGGATTCAGTTGTAATCTCCGTTCCCTTTTCCTGCAGAGTCTTTTATGTAAATCCACTTCATGGGCTCAGAACAGAAATTTATTAAGTCAGAGTGGTTGTACAGCCTTAACTGCCAACTGGATTGTTCCCTAAATTGCTGTTTTCAAGTAGTTTAGGAAAAAGTACTCTAAGCTATTTAAGAAAAGATTTTCTGGGTTATTGATACGATTACATCCCACACACACTTGGGAGGGTAGATATAACAGTATATTCATCTGGGTGAAAGGCTAAAGAGTTAAAGCCAATTCTGGGCAGTACCATCTGCTTTGTTAAAGGGGGAGGAAAGTCAGGACTAATGCAGGCATTTTCATTCCTTGCTATAGCTACTGCTTTCCAAGAATTAAAACATTTTTGTCATGAAGATGTGCTATTACTTACTAGCAAACATATTTAGAACCTTGCTTTATTTATATTTTGAATTGTTATTACAATACTAAAACGTCAGTTGAATATTTGAATAAAGTTGATCATGCTATTTGTGTTTTCACAGAAGTGCAATTAAAGCAAAGCGAAACATCATCAAAGTGTCCAGACCCTCCTAATGGAGCATCACCATGGCTATACTACAAAGATTATTGCTACGCATTTGATATGGCATTTTATAATTATTCCACATATACTGCAGACACAGCTAGGAAAGTTTGTAAGAAACTTGGTATGCCCAAATTATGCATTTCTTTTCTTGGCTAAAGAGTTATTTTTCAGTATTATTTTAGATAATGTCTTAAATCATTTCTTTTGGACATTTGAATAAATTAGATTTTCCTCATTTAATATAAATGTTTTCTCTTTAGATCCTTCTGCAAATCTTCTGACTATCAAGGATGTAGAGGAAAATAAGTTTGTGAGCACACACTTGAAAGAATATTATTTTATTACTGGAAAAGCATGGCTTGGAATGCAATTTACTGGTAAGGAAAAGTTGGATGTAATATTAAATAACATTTGGAAATGACCAAAACTATATAGTACTTTAACAAGGTTTAGGTAAAAATGTCTAGGGTACATTTGTGTTCATGGAAAACAAAGATACTGGCTTACAATAAAGCTGAATTTTTTTCAGTGTGTACGTGGAATGGGCTATGCATAGCAAAAAAAAATTAACAGAGAAGTAATACTTTTTATTTCTTGATAACATTTCCAGTAATTTAAATGTAAACACATGCAGTAAGAAATGCAGTTAAAAGAAATGAATATTTGTTCAGTTTCAGTTTCAGTTTCAGTTTATTGTATTTATATCCCTCCCTTCTCCTGGTGGACTCAGGGCGGCTTACAGCCAGTTAAAAAACAGAGCAATTGATACAAATATACAAAATTTAAAATAAATTATTTTAACCTTATCTTTTCACACCCTGATCATCTTTGCCCCATTTTTTTTCCTCCATTGTTCTCTTCCTCTTCCCTACCTTCCATAGTTCCAAATTCAGTTCTCCTTTCTTGTGCCTTCCTGCTCTCCTGCTTAGACCTCTGCCTCAGGGTACCTTTTTTGCCCCAGTACTGCTGGCTGCCAGACGACAGGATGTCTAGTTTAACGAAGAGAAGGATGAGGGGGGACATGATAGCAGTGTTCCAATATCTCAGGGGCTGCCACAAAGAAGAGGGAGTCAAGCTATTCTCCAAGGCGCCTGAAGGCAGGACGAGAAGCAATGGGTGGAAACTGATCAAGGAGAGAAGCAACTTAGAACTAAGGAGAAACTTCCTGGCGGTTAGAACAATTAACCAGTGGAACAACCTGCCTCCAGAAGCGGTGAATGCTCCAACACTGGAAGTTTTTAAGAAGAGACTGGACAGCCGTTTGTCTGAAATGGTGTAGGGTTCCTGCCTGGGCAGGGAGTTGGACTCGATGACCTCCAAGGTCCCTTCCAACTTTATTATTATTATTATTATTATTATTATTATTATTATTATTATTATTATTATTATTATTATTATTATTATTATTATTACAAGCTGGATGCCTGCCTCAGTCCGATGAGATAGAAACTCAGAATTTTTAGAAGCAAAGAGTTCTTTTTACCTGTATCTAAAGAAGGCAACTGTAGTGTAGTCACAGCTTGGCATGGGTTGAAACCAGGAGTCTGATAAACAAACAACATGTACAGGGGAAAAGGCACAAGACATGATGGAATGGAATTCAGGTGGACTTGGAATTCAGAATCCAAGGCATAGCCCAACAAGATAAATATGGTAGAGCCGAAGCTTGAAATGTTGTCCTCAGCTTTTGTCTCAGGGAGGGGAGCCAATGAAGAAGCCAGGCTGAGCCATTGCCCACATGCTCAGCTGAGGCACCAGCCTTATTAGAGTCTGCTCTCCTTCTGGCCTGCTTCTTTGGCCAGGTTTTCTGACCTGCCAAACTCACTGCAGGGAATCTTGACAGTTTGCTAAATATGCTTCAGCCAGTAGGATGCTTCATAGTAGGATGGGCAATATGTGGTCTTCTGTGAACTCCAACTCATGCTCACCATAACAGACATGGATGATGGTGAGGGGATGAAGAGAACTCCAGTTCTAACAGCAGTTGGAGGATCAGACATTGCACACCTGTTGTACATGGTAAAACCAGCTCAACCAGTGACTCCTCAAAGATCTTCCTGCCTCTCTGCTAACGCAGACAGCTGTGGTTTCAGAGCTGCATGGAGCTTTTCTATTCCCTTTCTGTGATCCTCTGACTGTTTGTTGAAGAAGGACAGCAAAAGTTCCCTCCAACTTACCACAGAAAATGGATGAAAGCTGTAATTAAGTGTTAAAATAAGGACATGATTTTTTTTTTTAAAAAAGAGGAAATCTCTCAGCTGCATCCATTGCAGCATTCAATCCCGACCAGAGAGAGGTTCTAGAGCAGACATGTCAAACTTGCAATGTCACGTGATGTCGCGCGTCGTATGGGGACTGTTGCCATTGCCAGCAATGGGGTGGGTGCAGCTTCCTCATGATGCATCCGGCCCGCGGGCCAGCAGTTTGACACCCCTGTTCTAGAGTAATGATGGCAAGCCTTCTAGGATCAGCATGTCAAAAATTTGAAAATGCCTAACTTGACTCTGCTGTTGATGTGTTGGTCACACCCACCAAACAATTCTCTATCCCCTCCCCCACTTCCAACCAGGCCACCCTGAACAGCAGTATGGCCTGAAATAGAGGCCCTCAAGGCACAGTTGCTCCCATGGCCTAGTTCCTAGGATCTGCCACATGCCTTTTTCAGGGGGCGTTCTCTTTCTGTCTCTGCGGCCTTTCTGAGATTGCTCCAGGTCGCACAAAGCCTTCAAAGTGACTTTGGAAAATGTTCTTCCACAGCGAAACAGCACAAAAGGATGTCCTGTTCTTGTGTGACTTCTGGGGGGTACATAAGAGCATATTCCATTCTCACATGGCCTCCAAAAATTGTGTTGAGAACAGGCCTTGCTTTCAAGAATAGTTGTTGTCAGATGTTGGTGAAGGCTGGTGTGACATCCCAAATATCATACCATGTCACCTTTGACACGCATTTCATAGGTTCACCATCCCTGCTCTAGAGTTACCAAGACGATCAGTATGGGTACAATATGAATGATGAAGAATAGGTTTCTGTCAGTCCTCCAGAGTAGGCCCAGGTCAGGAAGCAGACTCCATAAGTAATCCTGGAACGCTATTGATTTAGGCTGTAGTAACAAAATCCTGAAAGCCTGACAGCATTTTCTTTCCTTCCCTCTCTTCCTCCCTCTTGAAAGATGGAGCTAGTTTGAGGGTTTTTTTCTAACGTTTCTTCCTGTTTTGAACTTAAGTAACGTTCTGTTGCACTTGCAGAGTTTCTCTAAGGTAATCTCTTTAGGTTTTTGTTTGTTTGTTTGTTTCATAATAGCCCTATGAAATGTTGTGGAGGACAACTTTCAAATGAACTACCAAAGTAGTTACACTCAAGCAGGCAGACTAATGTTAAGTAACTACACAATAGAGCTGAGCACACTTGAAATATTTTTTGGAAGAAGTGCATGGGGCCTTATGAAAGAACAAGCACAGCATCTCCCTCCAGTTCATTAAAATGCACACTCTTCCCCCCACACACACACACACGTTTACAAACAAGTATGAAAAAGAAACCATGTTAAATAATAATTTAATCTAATTATTGCAATTAAATAAGGCAGTAAAGGCATGCTGCTTTAATTATTCAGTTCATTAAAGCAGTTGTATCTAGTTTCAGACTTGTGGAATGGGCAATATGTGGAACTTTTGCTGTCCTTCTTCAACTAACAGTCAGAGGATCACAGAAAGGGGATAGAAAAGCTCCATGCAGCTCTGAAACCACAGCTGTCTGCGTTAGCAGAGAGGCAGGAAGATCTTTGAGGAGTAACTGGTTGAGCTGGTTTTATCATGTACAACAGGTGTGCAATGTCTGATCCTCCAACTGCTGTTAGAACTGGAGTTCTCTTCATCCGCTCACCATCATCCATGTCTGTTATGGTGAGCATGAGTTGGAGTTCACAGAAGACCACATATTGCCCAAGCCTGAAAAAAATAGACATGCACTAACAAATGGCGGAGAAGCACTGTACTTGCACAAGGTCAAAAAGTTTGAAACTTTTTAAGAGCATACACCCACTTTAATACATCAAGAGTGTCTGGCATCTACTGGGAAGTGACAGCCACTTCTGTGGCTGTGCACCCCAAAAATTGTTGGGGGCCTGTGCTAATGACTACCGCTGGCAAGCCTGCTTTACCATAATGGTAGTGTAGGTTTTCCTCAGTCCTTGCATTGCAGCCCTGTCAGAGGTTGCAGAAAGAGGTCTGTAAGGCATGTTTTTGTTACATCTGTTGTTTGGCCTCAACTGCTGATCAGGAAATCTTTCCCATAAGATTTCCTGCCACCAATTACACCGGCAACTCAAAGAGTACGCATTTGGCCCTATGCAAGCTGATGTTTTGATGCTTCTTGGAATAACCAATGTGTGTTTTTACAAGATTGGTATGATTCTTTCCTGCTTGCCTGACCTAGTTTTTAACTTAATACTTTGGATTGTGAGCATGGCAAATCGCTAATTGGTTAGTTACTAAGACAGTTTTTATATACTGAACCAGAATACAGCTTTGGCTATTTAGTAGGCACCAAACTCTTGATAGCCAAGTGTAGAATAAATTGTATGTATATTGCATAATAAGTGAAAGACATTTGTGTTCATAAAATTAAAGAAGAAATGTTTTGGGCTTTTATTTACAGCCAAACCCTTGAGCTGGCTTGATGGCTCTGAGATTAAATATACAAACTGGGCCAATGAAACTGAAAAGGCTAATGGTCAGTGCAGTGTTATCTTTTCAACCAATGGGACATGGTCCAAAGCAGACTGCAACAATGAAACAAGCAGAGTTGTTTGCAAAACTCCTGAAGGTATGTAATGATGATTTAGTTTGGTCACATGAAGATAAGCTATCTGGTCATTTTCAGATATTTTAGACTACGGCTTGCAAATAAGATGGAATAATTAATAATAATCATAATCACAATCATAATCTTTAGCTGTGACCAAAGATTATGGGAATTGCTTATTCCACAACAGAGTTACTTTTTTATGATACAGTATAATATAGTAGAAGGATTGCTTGTTTCTTTCGACATTTATGATTGAGAGAAAGTAAAATCTTCATGTCTAGCCTCAGTATGTTAGTGGCTAAGAAGGCAGCCAACTGCTGCGAGGAAGCCATGTATGTCAGGACACTGACTTTTCTTCAACCATGCATTTAAATGTTAGAATAATCTTAATATTTAATTTGATTTAAAATGTAGCTTAATGTTTTAATATTTATTTTGTCTATTCAACATTTTTATGTTGTGACTGACTTGGATCACCCTCTGGATAGAAAGATAGGATATAAATAAAGATAATAATAATAATAACGACCATAACCACATATGGCTTGTAGTTTCACTACTCTAGTTCAATAACTTTTCTTCTTGCTTTTTCTTGTAGTCTCTCGTCATTCAGGAGGGGCAATAGCAGTTTGTGTTATACTTATTATAGCCCTCCTTGTTGGATTAGCGTACTTCCTATATAGAAAGATGCAACTACACTCTTCGGGATTGGCCTCTGTTCGCTATGAGCGGGGAATGCATGATGATGAAACTGACACCATGTTTTCTAGAAGTGATGACTGAAGACCAGTTTCTACTTGGCCTACTGAAACCAATTTCCAAATCAGCTCCTGAAGCATCTTCCAAAGATGCTATTGACTTTCATTCTTGGGGTTTATTGACACCTTCCCTTCTTTCAAGTTTAGGGGAAAAAAGGGATCTTTAACAATAATCAAACTTTGCACTTTTCGTGACCTGAGATTTGCACATGGCTTGAAGTGTGGTGCATGGAACAATCCTGACATTAGGATATCCTGTACCATTTACCCAAATGAAGTAAGAGAGCAGATGGCCAGAGAATTACTTGAAATATAATTTATTGAAAATAAAGTATATGCTAGTTTATGGTATTAAAATATTATATTTTCAAAGTTAAAGATTATGTTGAGTCAGGCTCAACTTTTGATTGCTATGTGTATGATTTACTTGGCAACAGAATGAAAAGACCTGGGATTTCTCATCCAAGCATCAGCAGGTCCAAACCTGCTTACCATTTCTGAGATCAACCAATGTCAGTGAGATATTGCCATTCTGATCTGATCCTTTTTATTATCTTTCAGATCTCTTGGGGCCATTCTGATTTTCAGTAAAAACTCTCAAAGATTCTTTCCATCTTTAAAACAAATTTATTAAGAACTACAGTATATTAAACAGATAGAACTACAGAGAAACCTAATAATATATATATATATATATATATATATAAAGAAAAAGGAAGACCAAGCAGTATAGAAAAATAATCCTCTCAAAAAAAAAAAGATGGTAAACAAGGAGGCTTCTCTCTATATCCCCAATAACCTTATTCAGATTGACAATTTATTGCTGTCTGTTAAATTACAGCCAGATGCATCTTCATTCCATACCTCATCCCATTTTCCATAAACTCATTTCTAAATCTTCAGCTTTCCTTATTAATCAACAAAAGTCGAGTAAAAATTAACAAAAAATACCTAAGGACATGAGTATATAATCCCCCCTTCTAATTAGCCTAAATCCTCCTCAACCCTCTCTTAACAATTAAACATTACAAAAATAAGAATAATAAAATTGAAAGCTGTTAAACATTATCAGAAATAATAAAGCCTTATTTAGATTTCCAAAAATGGTAATGTAAATATTACAAATTAATCCATTATACCATTAATTTCCAAAAGAAAAACTATCCAATTTGAATAACCATTATTATCACCAAAAATAGCAACTTGTTATTTAATCATAGTCAAATAAACCACTTTTTTATTTTTTTCCTTTTTCCTCCCAGTCATCTTGGAATCCCATAAATAAATTCTAACTCCTGTTTTCCTGTAGTCTTTTTACCTCTACTTTTGAGGTTCTTATCATAGTCCATTTGAACTTTCCATGAAGTGATTCGAGTAAATCTTCTGTATTTCAATGTAAAAAGACAATCCACACCATTTTGAACACATTTTTGTATGTGGTTTTTTTAAAAAATAATAATAATAATTGTCCAAATCCACTTGTAAATCTGGTATTTCCATCTCTCTCTCTCTCTCTCTCTCTCTCTCTTTTTTTAGTTGTAATTTTTAGGTCCACCTTAAACTTCTTTTCAGTTGTCTTCAGAAGAGTTCATCTTCAGTAACATTTTAGAGTTAAACTGTTAAGGAGTTAAAGCAGCTCAAACACTTCAGAGCCTATACATCAAAAGCTCCTTTTAAAGTAGCCATCATATACTTGTTTTGCTTTAAAACATAAACAATCAGATTTTTCCCACATGAGGTCTTTCTAGTTAGTTTTGAAACCTTTCTTTAAATCAACTTACAGCCATCTCCATTAAAACTGTTTCAAAACAACTCTAAAGTCACTCCTTCAGTTTATATTGCGAAAAGTTACCAAAAAAATAGATTTACAAAACTGAAAAAACATAGTTTCCGTTCTTTTAAACAGATTGAAAGGACATTTACCCAGCAACTTGTAGTCTTTGTAGTTCTGAAGGATTATCAGTCTTAAAAGAGGCAGTAAAAAGTCCAAAGTGATTAAAAACATGAGGTTTGGTCAAGCCTCAAGTCCTTAAAGGTTTCATTTGGGGCTCAGAGGAGGGTAGAAAACTGGAACTCCCAACTGATTGCAAGCAGCTGCGAAAACAACAGTTTTTACAGAATTCAGCTGACTTGAAATACATATGGTCCATCTCCAGATCTCTCTCTCTTCCAGAGAGAATTTTGACAGTCTAGATCTCACATCTAAGTGCCTTTTTGATCGAAATGCCCCTGCAATCCACGCAGAGTAGAGAAGATGCTGCGGGTATTGGCTTGCCTTGCTGCATCGGAAATTCCAGGGTTCTTCATCTTGATCAAAGTTACAATTTAGATTTGGATTCTTTTACTGCATTAACTTTTAAAGCTTGACTCTTACATTTTCTGTAGCTACAACAAAAGAACAGCAACAAGTTATTGTCAAATTGTATTTTTCTTCGAGTTTCTCCTGAATTTGCCGTATACACAGGAACAGGTTAACCTCAGTTCAAGGGCTAAATGAAAGTTTCAGAACCCCACTGTCTATTCACTGTTCAGGATTCATGAATGGGAGTGTGTTGCACAATGTAAAAGTTTTAACATTGTGTTTATTATTATTATTATTTATGTTAGCCTTAATATTTTTCAAAAGAGGTACTACTAAGTATTTTCTTTATTTGTTTTTGAAATACATTGACTGTAATCTAAAGTCTTATTCATGGTCAGAATGCTTTACTCGTACTTAAACTGGAGCATCCATAACGTTTTGTTCTTGCCTGATTCCATAGCACTATATTGGTGATTTCTCCTATCCATTCATACCATCAGTTTCCTGCTCCTGATTCTTTGCTGTGCATAGTTTTCTTTGATGGTACTTGTAACATGGAACAATTCAACACAGAGTAAACATATTTAGTCAGCCCTTAGCAAACTTTATAAAAATTATGTCATAAAAACCTTCTGATTTCAATAGAGTTTCCAAAGATGTAGTTCAGCTGACTTTTAGTAAGAAGCCAAAGCCTTTAAGATGCCAAAACACATTCAATTTTATGATTTGACTTGTAGCATTTCTTAAAATGTTTCCTTTAATAAAACTCACCAGACAGATAATTAACATCCACTTCTGAAAACTCAGAGGAACGCTATCAGAGATTATAGGGGGGAAAATATTGGTTTATTGCTAAGTTAGCTCTTTTATTGCTAAGTTAGCTCTTTTAAAAGATAGTGAATATGCACCTCTGGAATTAGTGACATATACAGCTCTTTTTTTAAAAAAAAATCAGGCGTGGTGTTTCCTATTTCATATACAAGAGGAAATGCTCTGCACAGCATTTATTAAACAAATGCTACATATGCAGATAGGTGCCCTTCCCCTTTATGAAAATAAGGATGCTTTGCTTGCCTGGAATTATATATTCTATGGTTCCAATTAATGGATGTGATGGTTCTTGCCTTACCTTGTAGCAAGACATAAGCCCAAGCCTATAACTTACTTCTTTTCAAGACGTTTTATGTGGTCTTTATAAGCATGTGCGTAAATACATCATTTTCTCTAGGTGAACATTTGTTTTTAATTTTTTAATGTTTGTGGTTTTAATATGTTTTATGTTATGTTATTATTACTGACACTGTCTTAATTCTTGATTGGGAGCAGCCCAGACTTTGTTATAAGATGGGTGGCTATATAAATGTTTTAAATAAACAAGTAAATAAGACATCTGGACAGAAAGCCAATTTTTCTACAGTTAATTGCACTGCTTTCTGTATGTTCGTTTCTGCACTTGACTTTTAACAATTGTAGGATATTTTACTATGACATTTTCCAGGACATCGCCACAATGAGTATGAGGATCTAATAAAGACAAGAGGTAGTTTGCACTAAAGAAGTGATGTCATTTTTTGACACCATTTGTAAAACAAAATGCCTGGATGTTTATGTATGCTCTCTGTCAGTAGTCAAAGGGACAAGAGCCCTAACCTAAAACTAGAGATGGGAGAAGTTCATTGAGGGGTGGTATGCCAGTGACCCTGCTCTTGTAGCAGATAGATAACGCATTATCCCGATTCAAGCACATCTCAGAAAGCTTTTCCAGTTTCTGCTAGCTTAGCTCAGAATGACCAGTCTATCAAATATTGAGGACATGGGGTTTGATGTAACTTTGCAACAAGAGCATTTTAGGGAACTACATGGAAGAAAATCCCTTTTTTTTCTCCAAAAGTGCTGAAATGCCTTTGATGTAGTTCTTAAATTAACAGCCTGCTAAACAAGTGATAAATGGATACAGTCAGATGGGAAAAGATACCCTTTGGCTGGGTAAGGAAGCCTTGTTCAGAAAACCAAAATGCCTTTATCAAAAGTTTTTAGCTGATAAGTACTTTTGTATACTGTTTAATCAACTTGCCAAGGAGGTAGTTGTTAATGTCATCTCTGTCAGACCAAGTCAGCCACTAAATAGCAGGACCGAAAAAAGAGTTCCCAGAACACACCCCTGCGGATCACAGAAAAGCAGGCCACTTACCGTATGTTAAAATCATACTTTCACAAGACTTGATTGCCATGGTCACAAGTTGTTAGTCCGAGATAAAGAGTTTAAAAGCAAGTAGCATTTTGTGTATGTATGTGATATTCTGTTTAATAAATTTGTGCAACGCTACTGACACAAGGTTATTTTGCACTCACGGGTTATTTTAATGTGAATTTATACATGGAATAGGGCTATTCAGTCATACAGCCTAGAAATAAAAAATGAACAAAATATTTCACTGTTTCTATGAAGGATTTGCAATCTAAAACTTATTTTGTAAATGGTTTTAATTCTGCTTGATTTTTTTTCCTATACCTGGACAAGTGAAAAAAATGTGTGAACTAATACAGATGCCTTAATGTATCTAATTAGCTCTCTTGGAGGGAGTTTGCAAAGAAGCTTACCTGTGGTGGTGATAAGAGAAACAGAAGATTTATAAAAAGCTTTGATAATTGCTAGTTTTAAAGTATAAGAAAGTTACATTGATTCAGTTCTTCCCTCCTTATTAAAATACTTTGTATGCTTCATTATTTTTTTAAAAAATGTCAGTGTTAATAAAACTGTTTAAAAAAAGAGTCATTGATGAGTTTTTATTTATAGAAGGAAGAGGACATTAAAGCTAGGGTTACCATCTGAACTGCAAAAATCTAAGTCCTCCTTAGGTGGCAGCAAAGTGTGAGTTTCTCCTTTTTGTTGACTGTTATCTAGAGGTGATACGGATTTGTGCAATCCCAATTTGGTAGCTGTCATTAAACAGATCACAAAGACAAAATGTTTACAATTTTTATTCAGAAGGTAGACCACTTGCCTACCCAAATACTGCCTTTCCCCCTATATACAATATTTATATTTTCAGATCAAAAGATCTAGGATATTTGATAGACATAGCTTCCTTTTTCTTTTGATATTCTAACTGAAGCAAGCATGAATGATGCTTTGAGACTATCAAGAGAAAGACAAAAAAGCGACTGATCAGGCATGAGTGAAATCAAATATAAGGGATTAAAACACCAATAGTTCTCCCTTGTATTCACCGATAGCTGTCCAGTAACCTTGTTTAGGGTGACCTTATACACTCAAATTATGTTGGGCTCTTGTAAGTATATTCAGGCTCTCTGCAGATAAAGTAACTCAGATCCACTAGCCCTACACTGTAATTGGCCAGGCGAAGCTAGGGTGAGATACCCAGAGCATAAACTGGTTATGTGATCTGGGCCTCTCCTGGGACATGACTGCAGTTATAAGGAGATGACCCATAGTTGGGTCCATGCTGTAAGGTCAGCCATTTTGATGAAGTTTTGCGTTATGCCTTGAAAGAGTTTGTGGTGTGCCCCTTTCTCAAGATGCTGTCCTTGGACCCAACAGTGTTTGATAACTATTGACAAATAGTTGGGGATTCTTCTGTTAAAATATGCATGGCCCAGTAAAGCAAATATTCAGCTATTTTAAAACCATTAAAGTGTGAGGAAGAAAGTTGGGAAAAGGGCTTGCTTTTCAACAATACATAAGTGACACCATCAATTCAGTAAATATCAGGCCATTTTAGAAAATAAATCTATTTAATTGTGTTTTAGAATTCTGTACATTAGGCAACTAGAAACTGTAGCTACTAAACTTAATTCAGTTTGAGCAGATTTTAAAATTATACTTCCCAGAGTTGATAGCATTAGCTGTCTCTTCCAATCCCATTGTACATTCATGCAATATCTCACAGAAAGCAGCTTGGGGGGAAAGTGTATTGCTTTCAGTCTAAAGCCAAAAGCCCTCCAGCTAATGCACATTAAAAATTCATTAGCAAGGCCACTTCACTAATGGAAGAGCAAAAAGAGAATTCCTAAGGAATAGGGGAACATGTGGATGAAGAGAAGCAAGTAATTAGGACCTGGATCCATGAAGCAAAGACATTATTCATTATTCTCCCTTCACAAGAACATTCAGAGTCGACTCACCTAAGCAGAAGACCTGCAGATGATCGATGGGATGTCCCCAAGCTTGTGTGAGCCTGGCTGTAGCGCAAAGCTATAACTACACAGTTTTCCGCATACTATCCCAAGTTGAAGTAAGGTAGCATTGCTGTAGAATACCTACTGTGAGATTCCCAAAGAAATTGCCAAACCATAGTGACATTGAGTAGTAGCATGTCAAAAGGATGATCCTTTTTGTGCACATGACTTTGCTAAGAAGTACCATATACCCAGCATCCATAGAAGTCCATGAGTTGCATGCATATGTTAAACTGTCCCATAAAAACAGGAAATCAAGGCAACCAGATGCTATGCAGATGTTTTGGACTGTAGCTTCCAAACCTCCAGCTTGCATGACCAAAGGTCAGGGATTCTGAAAATGGCCATCCAAAGTGTTTGCGGGACACTTAAGTAGCCCCTTTTATTTACTTACTAGATTTACAGCCTGCCTTTGCTCACAATAATATGAAGTGGGTCTGGATGAGAATGACTGTCCATGAGCTTCCATGGCTGGGGATGGACTGGATTCTAGATTTATAATCTGATTTGTAGTATTATCGCTTGCATCATTTAAATTACTGCCAATCCCAGCATCTTTTAATCTCCCATTTATGATTAAGCACTCATCTAGGCATTTTTTAGCTAAGTTGCCTTTGATTCGGGCAACTTTTCTTCTGATGGCTGGATTCCCTAAGCTTCTGTGAGCCTGGTAGTGTGACAAAGCTATAAGCACACAGCTTTCTGCATACCACCTTATCCTAGGTTGAATTAAGGTAGCAAGACCACAGACCATCTTCTAGTCATCTCTTGGAAGGAGCCAATGTAGTGTGCACTACAGAGCATCAAAGAAAGCTCTACTTGATGCCTTTACACAACAGTTTGGAAACTTGCTCATTCTATTATACAGTAAATGGTCATCCATTTAAGTATGACTAGGAGCAGACATGAAACACAGTATGATGCTGCCACAGTAAGCATTGTACTCCATAACTTTTCTCTGTTTCTGTCTATTTACATGTAAACAAAATGTATTCACTGCCATAACATCCAAAATCAAGGGATCACAATATGTGAGTGGCAGAATGATGACTTCATCAAATCCCCTACAATTTCAGGAGAAACTAGTGATTTCAAGTGGGGGGGGGAAATGGGCACACACATTCTCTACACATTCTAGTAGAGAGAAGTTCCCTGAGATGGGGTCCAGCACAAGTCCAAAAGCTGGGAAGACTAAACTCTGGTCCTGTTGACTGACTCAGATTGGATCCTGCAACATTTTTTTCTATGTAATAATCATGTTTGTGCCTAATTAAGAGACCAGTGGAGGAATCATTAGGAGACTAAAGTGTTGTTTCCTCTCCTGCCATGTTCTCACTTGAAAATGCCTGTATGCTTTATAAACAGAAAATAAGGGTCTCCCCCATCATTCCCTGCAATTATATTCTAGACTGCACAGAAATATAGACTTCCCTGGACATGATATCCATGGCAGATGATGCTGGGGTCATCATACACTTACAAATCTTCTTGTTAATCTCAGAGACAATTTACATTTATTGTGTATTTCTTTGTAAATGTGGTCCAGATGCAAAACTAGTGAGGAAGAATTTCATTTTTAATATGATTAGACCTGGATCAGTTTCAGTATGAAATATTCAAGCACTTTCCAATGCTGTTGATTTCAGCAGAACAATTACTACTGCTCATGTAAAAAATGGCAATAAAAAGTAGCTAAATTATTTGTTAAGGAACTATATTCAGTTATATTCAGGAAAATGCCTGATGCCCTCTGCTGGTCAAACTGTAGATGCCTGTTTAATTGAAGAAGCAGTAAAACCTCTCCAACCAAATCAAATAAGATCTACCTAAGAGAAAAATACTTAATAATTTATACTTTCAGATTTTAAAAAAATGTCAACAGTGTGAGATGATGATAAATGATGATGATAAGAGAGAGAGGGTAGGGAGAGAGGATAGATGTGAAAGAGGAGTACTTGGTGCTCTCTGAGCTTGATTGCTTGGTTGTTTGTCTGCAGATATTTCATTACCCAACCAGGTAGTGCTTTTAGTGACATTAGAACTCACAATTCCTGATTTTTAGTCCAGTGCCTTAACTACTACACTAAACTAGCTCTTGAATTCTATTTAGCACGGTACTAAAAGATGTTAATTATATCCAATCTGTTTTCTACAATTCTGTTTTTGAACAGCAGAATTGTACCATGCATCAGAAACAACTGGAGACAGGCAATCCTTTGGATAACAGACTTGTGCCATGAAAGACTTAACAGGGGATGACCAACATCTTAAATTGAAGCCAGAAGCTAATTGGCAACTTCTGCGGTTCTTAAAGTTGCAGTCCTATCACAGTGCATTTAGGTTCATTTCCTTTCAGGTCAGTCCAACTAATCATCTTAGTTTTAGAGCATCCTTTCAAAAAGGAGATTTGAATTAAAAACTTACAGTGAGGTCCTATATACTCCAAAGAATTTTTTTGTCCTTGAATTCAAAGTGTTCCAGACCTAATGGGCATTAGGAGTAAAGTTTGACTTCAAGGAATTATTTCAAATAGTAAAGTGATCTGACAAGAGAACACCATCAACCCAGTTTAGACTTTTAAAAACGACAATAAAAAGAATGTTTTCCCCCTAAAGCCAGATTGATCTAGTAATTAAGGCACTAGGCTAGAAAACTGGAGATCGTTCATTGAAAACCCATCTATTCCATGCGGCCGGCCTGGCGTAGTTTTGATTGGGCTTTGCTAGGGGTTTTATATGGGGTATTTTTAGAGCAGGCTTTTTATTCAATATTTATTGTGATTTTTATTATTGCCTGTTCACCGCCCTGAGTCCCGTAAGGGAGATAGGGCAGTATATAAATTTAAATAATGATAATAATAATAATAATTGAAGTCTCACCGTAGCCATGAAAGCCAGCGCACACTCTCTTGGCCCAAACCACTTCACAGGATTGCTGTTATTATGGGGAAAATTCAGGGAAGGAGTATTAGGTAAAAAATAATATTTTTACTACGGTCACAGACCAGCATTACAAATATGAAGCAGCAAAAAATAAATAAAAAAACAAGATAATAAATGACATTTAGTGGTGGACTGCCAGTGGGCAGTCAAAGTCTGCCTAATTTTGCTGAGGGTATATCCAAATTTAGCAACATTAAAAAAAAACTACATCAGACTCATCCAATAACAGCAATTGTACATGAGATTGGTTTTCTAGGGTATTTCATCAGGTGAGGTATTATGAGATGGATCCCTGAGTCCTTATAGAACAGTGGTTCTCAACCTGTGGGTCGGGACCCCATTTGGGGTCGATCGACCATTTCACGGGGGTTGCCAAGCAAGGCTGTCCGCCATTTTTTTTTGTCCGGCATTTTTTTTGTCCGCCATTTTTTTCCCCTTTTCCGGTGGGTGCCTTACCTCCCTTGGGCTGGGCCAGCTGGTGGTCGGCCTGCTCCGTCTCTGCCGTTTGCCAGCTACGCCTCAGCCGGTGCAGGGGGCGGAACCATGCATGCGCGGCGCTCCCGGGCAGGGAAAGTCCTCGACTTACGACCGGTTGGGTAGTCCTCGACTTACGACCGGTTTAGTCCTCGACTTACGACCGGTTTAGTCCTCGACTTACGACCGGTTGGGGTCGCGGCATTAAAAAGGTTGAGAACCACTGTTATAGAAGGTACAGTATAGTAGGGCGTGAGCTATAGTTTCGATAGTCCTTTGTCCACAGGGACACTCTCGGCTCGTATGGAATTTTTTTATATCGGCCCTCCAAGTGCATTACCGAGGGCTACAGTCAGTGTCCTTCAAAGTTTGGGGGAGTATTGGGTATATTAGAATTAGGTATATATATTAGGAAAGATTGAGGGCAATAGAAGAAGGGGACGACAGAGAATGAGGTGGCTGGATGGAGTCACTGAAGCAGTAGGCGTGAGCTTACATGGACTCCAGAAGATGGTAGAGGAGAGGAAGGCCTGGAGGAACGTTGTCGGACACGACTTCGCAATTAACAACAACAACAACAAAGGTATGACCACCTTGTGTTATTTATAAAAACAATAAAGGTGGGATTAAAAACAAATTCTTTTTAAAAAGTCTATTAACTGTTGTTTTAACTCCACCCGGAGGATTTCTGTTTCTTCAGATGCTGAAAGGGCAGAACGACGCTCAAAAATTCAAAGAGAATTGGGGGAAGCGCCTGGACGCCTGCCTCACTGCTGCTTCGGCCGAAGAGAAAGCGCTATAGGCGCAGGGAGGACATTTCGCCCCGAACCTCGCAAGCGCGGGACAAGAGGCGGCAGCAGCCTGAGAGAGAGAGCGCCGCTTTCCGCCCTTCGCCAGCCTTCCTCGCCCTGGCCAGGGCTCAAAGGGCACTTAACTCCGGCGGTGGGCGGCGCTTGCGCGGCCCCAACCCCGAGCGACGCCAGTGGGCCAGGCGGAGCTCTCTGCCTGGCCATGGGTGCCCCCTCGCCCGCTTCCTACTCCGCCTGCTTTCTGAGCGGCTTCCTCCTGGCGGCCGCGTTATCTTCCTTAGGAACTGACGGTAAGAGAAGGTGGGGCGGCGCCAAAGAGCTGGTTTGTGAATTCCCCCCCCCCCCGAAGCTTTTTATAGCTGCCGCCTTTTGGAAACACGCGCCCTGTCCTCTGGGCAGGCGGTGCGCCGCCTTTGCTATCCGGAGTAAACTGCGCGCACGAAGCAGAAACTCTGCAGGAGTGGGAGTTTCGACGCGTTTGAAGCTTCGGGCGCTCCCTTTTCCCTTAATCTTTCTCGCTCTCTCGCTCTTTCACTCAGGGCGGGGCTAGGGAAGGTGGGGGCGGTCCTTTGTGCCGTGCGGGGCTCTTGTTTTTGCTTACCCAGGGGTAGGCAACCTTGGCTTACACCAACCATTATAGGGCAGTCTGATAAAAGTCCGGCGCTCAAAGGTTTCCCCCTCTTTTGGCGCAGGGTCAAATGTCTGTTCTCCAAATGGGTGGGCTGCTGCGAGGCCTTTTTTAATGGTTTTTAGAAACCTATTTAAATGCTCCAGAACTCTGTGGGGTAGAAGAGGGAGACAGACAGACAGACATTGTGTCTGATTGATGTGTTCAGACTGGAGTGAAACTAAGGATTTGCAGAGGCAAAGGAATATATGCTTCCTCCTGTTTTTCATTCACCGCAAGAATCTTAATTCAATAAAATGACAGGCAGGTCAATTTCCTGTTTCATCCATAAGAAGATGAGAAAATTGCATTTGGTTGGGAGGCGGCTTTGTTTGAAATCCATTTGGCTGATGTACAGTTATTGAGAACACAAGCAAAGCTTTCAGACAGAGGGCCTACAATAAGTATTTATGTAGCTAAATTTGCAATCAATCAATCCAATCAAAGCCTCTGTTAAATTGAGCTTGACTCCTGGTGAGTTCATGAGTCCCTCCCTGCTAACAGTACAGAAGTGAATTGCCATTATAGTCCGGAAAGTTTTTTTCAACATGGACTAGCCTGCAGCCTAGTGGTCTCCCATCTAAGCACTACTTATGCTGAGCCATACTAGGTTTTCTTCTAGGTCAGCTAAGGTTGGCTAGGTCCTGCTGTGACTAGAATAAACTCTGCTAATTGATTAACCAGTTTCAAAATTAGAGGATGACATGGATTATGTGGAAGTGGGTGATTTAGGAAAATTGGTCAACATTTGAAAGAAAGAAAGAAAAAAAAGGAGAGATTTATTAGGGAAGTTTTTTTTAAAAACTATTCAGTCTCCACTGGAGCCAAGTTATATCCAAGACAGCAATAAGAAGAGGAGACGTTGATTTTATCCAGAAATAGTGTACTGTACAGAAATATGTATGCTAAGTTTGTGAAATAGAGACAATATGGAGAAAGATTAACTTGCCAGAGTCTTCTCTGCTACCAAGGAATGACAAATAAACACTTTTTCAAATCAGGTATAGCTAGAAATTATCATTTTCAGGCCTAGGACTGTCGTTTCTCTGTTCATTATCAGTCCACCTCATTTTTTTTAAACTGCCCTTACTACTCCTTATTACTATTATTGCTCTCTCACAAGACTTGGGTGGTGTATAACACAAAAAGATCACAATAAAAATTCATCAATCGATGTCCTGAAAGGGAGGGGATTGTGTTGAATAAAATGGTCCCTGATGTACTCTGGAACTGCACCACCACGTTGTATAGGTATTGAACAGGACTTTGGATTTGATCCAGAAGCCCATTGGCAGACAATGCAACAATGGCAAAATATATGTTTCTCTAGAAGAGGTCTCTTCTCCTAACCTCTTGGCTATGGAATTTCCAGCAAAACTTCTTGATCTTCAGAGGCAGCTCCATGTAGACCAGTGGTGGCGAACCTATGGCATGCATGCCAGAGGCGGCATGCAGAGCCCTCTCTGTGGGTACACGCCATTGCCCCAGCACACATGGTCTCTAAAAGTTCACCATCATTGGCCTAAGGCCAGCCAGCTTGGAGCCGCCATTGGGGAGCCCACCATCCCACCCGCCAGAGACCCCCTGCATCTCTCCCAATCCTGCCCGGCTCCCACAGGTGTCCCTCCCCATAAGCAACATCGAGGTGGCCACACCCACCCCGGCTATGCCCACCCAATCTGCCATGACTACTGCAGCCACCCATCCAGTGGCCACGCCCACCCAGTCTGCCAAGCCCACTGTAGCTGTGCCCGAGTGGGCCACACCCACCCGGCACCCGGCGATACATAAGTGGGTTTTGGGTTGCAGTTTGGGCACTCAGTCTCTAAAAGGTTTGCCATCACTAATGTAGACCATCTTACAATAATCACTTGCATAGTGATAAGGATAATAAAGTCATAAGTTATCACTACCAAGCCTTTTCTAAGACATTTTTTAAGCAAGAGATCTGTGTTTAAAGAGAACTTTGGCTTCTGCTGACTCCCTCTGTTTTGCAACAGATTCATATGTCCCAGCACCCAGATTGGGCTTCTCCTGTGTGAAACTGGTTGCTAAACTGGGGTGTATTCTCTTGAAATGCTATCAAACAAAAACATATTTATTGAGTTACTCACCCATCCTTGAAGGCATGGTGCTAAACTCCAAGGACACCAAGTTATAAAATATGACTGCATGTTTTCTGAAGAGTTTGGTGAAACATTTTATTTTGATGACATAGAATGAATCATAAATGAATCATAAACACACATAGCTACCTGAAGATCCAAGGTTGTACGATTAATCTGATATTTAGCTAGGCAGAGTATTGCTCTTTCTATTATATGTGTTTATTTTCCTTAACCTGGTCATAAGATTTCTTAGCCAGTTTCTTCTTTCCTCAGATAGAATCATCTTTGTTTCTGATATCCTCAAAGGAGTGGGGAGGGGGAGAATATTCACAAATTGCTCTTTAGGCCTCAAAGATGACGGCTTACCATTTTTTAAATTTTAGGCTGATGTCCCTTTAATTCTGCTAAAATTAGCCTTCTAATTTTTGATGTACCCTTCTTGCCTGGTATTTTTTGTTGCAGTCCCCATAATCCCGACTCTGTTGTTGCTGGCTGAAGATTGTGAGACTTATAGTCTAAACCAGGGGTGTCAAACTGCCGGCCCGCAGGCCGGATGTGTCATGCAAAATCCACACCCACCCCATTGCCGGCAATGGGAAAAAAGTCACGATACGTCACGACACGTCCCGTGACGTTGTGAGTTTGACACCCCTGGTCTAAAACATGTAGAGAAAATCTAGGTGGGAAAACTCTTAGACATGCAAGGTTCTTGATGGAAAAGATTAAATTAACATTGAGAAGGTAATATTATAAAAATTGAAATGTATATACATTTTAAGCAATTAAAAGAAAGGAAGATACATCAGACAGGGATAAAATGATAGCCATGATCTTAACATAGGAGATGACTTTGGCTACATGGCATTCTCATCCTCCTCCTCCCCCCCCCCAAAAAAAGCCACATCCACCATTTTGTGCATGCCTGTTCTGCCTTCTGCAAAATCATCTTGCCCGAGTCCTTCTTCCCTCGTCACTCTCGGAGCAAGGTCAACTGGAAGGTTTTGGATGGACAAGACAGGAGTTTTCTGATGAGCAATGGTTCCTAAATGGCCTTTTTAGTATGAATAGGCCGCAATCAGTTAATCTTGGGTTTCCTTTTACTGTACTACCTATTTTCTATCACTAAAATTTTGCCTCTTGAACAGCAATTCCAGAATTTATTTTTTTTAACTAACTGGTCCTGTTGCCTTCTTAAGCAACAGAAAAATTTTATGCTTATTATTGGGACGCTAACTCTATACTCACATACCAGGGGGTCAGATATTTTTATCAAGTTACACAACTGCACAAACATTTGTAATTAGACATGCTGTTTTATTCTTCCATTATTTTTCCCTTCCCTAACAACTAATTGCTGTATTAAACCATTTCTCCTTTTACTGTAGTCTTTTATTGTAAAGGTTGGTCCAAGAACATAATAAAGCTATTTGATTTTGATCAGGTCCACCATTTACATAACATCTAAGTCTTCTGATCCTGACCTCTTATGCCTAAGCAGGACATGCAGCAAAATTTCTGCCCAATTTGTTATATCCTGGATTGTCAGGGTTCCTATTCCCATGGAACATACTTATAAGGCAATTATATGTGCAATGATGCAAATTTCACACACAAGATTACTGGAAGAATGGTTCTGTTTGGGTGCATTCTACATAAGAATGTATGTTACACATGCAATTTAATGATATGTGGAGAACCTTACAGATTTTAACTGGCTTCCAACATCACATTAAACCCAGATTAGACATAGTGATATTATCAAGTGCTTCTGGAAATACAAAACGAGTTGAGCTTGGTTCTCGGGGACTACATATAATTTTTGGCAATAATAAGGCAATTGTGTGCCTTTTTTTGGAGGGCTTTTATAACTTTCCCAACAACCTAGGACCTGGTTTCTTAATGATTTCCCATCCAAGTACGAATCGGGTTTGACCCTGCTTTATTCTTCAAGATCAGCCAAGATCTGCTAAGTGATTCTGAAGATAGATCACAAGTCAGCAACCTGTGGCTCCGGAGCTCAATGCGGTTCTTTGACCCTTCCCCTGCGGCTCCCAGCCTCCTCTGTCATTTGCAGAGACAGAGCTTCTCTCTCTCTCTCTCTCTCTCTCTTTGTGTGTGTGTGTGAAAAAGAGAATAGTCTCACCCTGTTCCGACTGACAAGCTTATTGGGCGGGGCTCCTCCCTTTGCTGCGTCTCTGCAGGAAGCAGGAAGGGCAGGAGAGAGCTAGCTAGCCCAGCTATGCTCAGGAATTCTGGGAGTTGAAGTCCATGAGTCATAAAAGAGCCGAGGTTGCCTACCCCTGAGCTAGCCCAATAAGAATGTGTGTCAGCTTGTTGGAGAACAGCTTGAAGCCAGCTTGCCAGGTGAGCAGAAGATCAGAGAGAGGAAGAGGGGGGAGAGAAAGAGAGAGGGAGAGAAAGAGAAGGAGAGGAGAGAGAGAGAAAGAAAGAGAGAGGGGGAGAGGAAAGCGATAGAAAGAGGAAAGAGAAAAAGAAAGAGAGGGAGAGGAAAGAGAAAGTGAAAGAGAGAGAAAGAGAAAAAGAGGGAGGGAGAGGGAGGGAGAGGAAGATAGGGAGGGAGAGAGACAGACTCTTTTGACATCTAAAATGAAGATAACACTGCATATATCCTTTTTTACCTTTATGAGATTATATACCTATAATAAAGGTAAAAAAGGATATATACAGTGTTATCTTCATTTTAGATATCAAAAGGGTTTTGCGGCTCCCAGTGTTTTGTTTTCAGTGGGAAACGGGTCCAAGTGGTTCTTTGAGTGTTTTGGGTTGCCTACCCCTGAGACAGATGCATCTAAATGCTAGATAAAGATAAAGATTTTTTAATTGAATAGCAAGATTAATATGATTACAAAATAGTACAGTTGATTTGAAAATCAGAATCAAAATGAATGTGAAAAGTATGATGCAATTAAACATGAGACAAAATAGCAAACAAGCACACATCAAAATAGCTGCAAAGAATGTTAAAAACTATGTGTATTTTATTCAAAGGGAAGAGTCTCAAGAATAAACAGTAATAATTTATTGTTCTTTAAAGCTAAAAAGTAAAAGTTGTTTTGGGTTAGGGTTGCTGGGTCTGGGAAAAGAAGATTCACCTTTTTTTGCAATCAAACCCTTCCCTTTTTTTAGCAGCTATTTGTTTCACTAAAGAAATAAGTGCCTGAAGGTTACACTTAACCCCTCTTCATAAAAACATGGACAGCAGCCTAATTTTTAATATTGCAGCTAATCTCACTTATTTCAAATCTGATTAGGTTGTGCCCAACTTGTTTTGAATGCTATATAAACATTTGGAGAAACTCATTTCACTTCATTTGTATGTTGTGAAGCTGGGACTGACAACAGAAACAGATGGCCTCATGTTCTCTTCCTTGTGTAGCGTGTCCTTCCATTGCTTGGATTCCATTCCAAAAGAGCTGCTATGCCCTACTTCAGGGATCCTCAGAGGTCTACAGTATGGATGATGCCAGGGAGCTCTGCCAAGACAATGGTAAGACAGCTCTGCTCTGTCCAATCTCATCCCAACCTTGTGTGATGCACTGAGACTAATCAGCTGAGCCTACATGAGCAGGAACGGGGGATCCTTTCAACATCTGAATGTCTGTTTGCCATTTTGAAGAATGTTAGTACTCACAGGGGTTAACAGAGCATGTACATTACTTGCTCAGACCTGCAGAGTGTACAGGTGGGAAAGCTCTTGGGTTTCTATGGTTGATCTCATTCAATCTCATTCTATTGCTGGGGAATGCAGACTTTCCCAAGTACATTGATCTAGCATTCTCTTATACTGTCAAACATTTCTAATGTTGGAGACGGAGAGAGCTCCTATTTTATTGATTCCTACTCCAGAATTTTCCAGACTGTTTATTTTAGGAAAATATTTTGGCATTGCCTGTCATGCAGCACAAGTGTGTACGTACATGCACATGCACATGCATCCTGAAGTACTGCAGAGAGCCAAAACCAGGTCAGTAACTGGAAGCCAAAACCAGGTCAGTAACTGTATAATAAAAGACCTGAACTTGCCTGGGATGATCAAAGCTAACAATATACCAAATGAACTGCAGCATTTACTCCCATTCACAGGAATGGACACTCAGCCTTAATTTTTTGTCTTTATTTCTCAAATGTAGCCTCCGGAGCGGATATTATTACTATAAATAGCAAAGATGAAAATACCTTTATTCAAAGTAATTTTCACTCAAATTGGCATGGTCCAGAATACATATCTCTTGGCATGTTTTTTGACACAGATGGTAAGTGAACAAATCCTGCTAGAAATATGCTCCACCTTCTCTCAATTTTTGAACTATATTTCAATTAAGAATGATCCTTCCTTTCTTAAGGTAAAAAGCTTTATAGATGTAACTTCTACAAGAACTCTTTGATCCGGGTTTGGAAAATGGGGCCCTATGGAATTGTGAATGCAAAGCCTAGAGGAACAACAATAGGGGTGCAGAATAGATACAGGGGCTGAGGGATTGCCTCTTCAATTGGACAAACACAAGAAAAATGAAATAGGATGACAGACTTGTACCGGAAGGGAATCAAACTTTTATCTGCTATTGATCAAGGATACAAATGTTTGATGCAATCAATCTGTTATAATCTTAAGCATTTCTAGCACTAGGAAAACATTTCTTACCTCCCTAAAGCTTTCTGCTGTTTCTCTTTAAGCAACAACCTACACTAAATTGAATAAATAAAACTAAAATTAAAACCACTTATTAACAAATAATCAAGTCAATGTAAATGTTTACTTTGGCTCATGTTTATGAAGCAAACAAAAATAACTTTACATCTACTGTGCCGCAGATGATATTTTCAAATGGTATGATGATTCCAAAGTAAATTTTACAAACTGGATAGAGGAAGAAAGTAACAATGAACTTCTAAACACTTGTGCTACTATGCATACAGCTTCAGGTGGATGGAAAAAAGTCTCCTGTGAACACATTCCACTGACTAAAATCCTGTGTGAAACTACTGGTACGTAAGAGCCATGCTACAACATTGCCTTAAAAAATGCTGCAGTATTGAAGTTTTCTATTATAGGCCAGGAATTTCATAGGCTGTGAAAGGGCTTTGAAGTAGATAAACTTGGGCTGTTGTTTAGGTCCTCTGGAACCCTTCATCAATCATCAATTATCATGGTCATTAAACTTAATTCCAGTGTCATTTTATTCCTGTACTAGTCATACATGCAATATAATTATGATAATATTAATTAGAAGATGCAAATGAATCCTTCAAGGGAAACTGGAAATAGTTCTGTATCTTGCTATTTGGCTTTTCACATAGCAGAATGCACAAGGTAGATGCAAGAAAAATTACCTATATACTTCCCTATCAGGGAGCTTTGTCACAACTCTGGTAGGATTATTGCTAAATATCTTCCGCATTACCAGATTTAGGAAACACATTCTTTTGATTATTCCAACAGCAAGCATACGTATTAGGATCAGCATTGTTTTTAAGAAAGCAATTGCCAAATATTAAACAAGACATTGGTTTGGGTGTCTCCTGATTCTAGCACTGAAACCAAACAGACTTTAGTGTGACAGACTTCACATTCTAGGTTTTCTAAAATTCTAACTGGGTCAATAATTGCCCCATAATGAAAATGAACTACCATTCCTATCTGTATTAAAATTCTTATCGGGACACCAGGTCATATTTTTCTTATTAGCGCAATGCTGTATTTTCCTTTCTGTGGGCTGAATCATTCTCTCGGAAAATGAGTGGTGAAGAGTTCTTGCTTGGGAGATTTTAAGAGGATACTCTTCATTATTATGGTGTTCAATCTATTATTAATATATAATTCATTACAATGAAAGCAAGAGGTTATCTGTCCTTTTAGAAATTATGCAACAAACCGTATTTCATTCATTTCCTATACACTCCCGTCATATGGTATAAAGTATTTGGTTTACTATGCTAGAACATGAATAAACACTGGAATCAAACTGCAATCAGTAGACCCATGCGGATTAACAATACTGTGCCTGCATTTGAATACCCATCTAATTTACACCCACAATTTCTATTCCCAAGGAAGATCCATGCACAGAAAATACTTCAAGTGGATTTCCCCCCCCCTTTTGAATATGAGCAGATTTTGGTCACTAAGTGGCTTATTGCCAACTATTGGATAGTAATTATTTTCACTACTTCTCCGAGATAGTAAAATGTAGATTTTAAAAAAAAATAACATCAAAATGTTTTCATTTTTTCCTCTGCATATAGCTAAAGTTCTTTATGAAAAAACACACTTATTTGGTGAGTAATCCACTTTGTTTTCTTTATATTGTCTACTAATGAAACAATGATAAGACTGTACCCTTTTATTTCAGAGTAGTTTTCTTTTTCAGGGAACATTCAGAGTTACCATGGATTGCTTCCATGTGTGGATATAATTCACAGCAGGTCCAACAATGTAGTTTAGCCATGACTAATTTAACCCATCCCACTGATTTTAATAGATCTTTTCTAAGTAAGGAATTATCATTGTGTATTCTATTCGGATATGCAAGAAGCTGTATTAAAGATATCCATTCACTGTTAAATATCATCAATTCCCCACATTTCTGTTACCATTTGCCTGGTACATAATGGAGAAATGTATTTACATCATGGGGATAGGTCCACTGCAAGCTGTTATCAGTCAGAAGGACACGGAAAATCAGAGTCCTGTAAAGGCAGTAACTCTGTTAAGTCAACCATTTTTCAAGCTGATTAAAATTCTTACTAGACTAAATGTTAGGAAGAAAAGGGTAAAATTATATTTGGTGCATTCTACAAAGACACGAAAGTGAGCATCGGGAAGATAGTTTTGGGTATATCTGGAACAGCAAGATGAAACATGCTTCAGCAGTATATGTGGCTTACCAGCATATCTAGGATAAAGTAAGGTAGTTCTCAACTTGCAACAATTGAGTGAAAAATTTTCATTGATAAACAGCGCAGTTAAGTGAGTTTTGCCCCATTTTGTGGTCTTTTTCGCCACAGTTGTAAAATGAATCACTGTACTTGTTGAGTGAATCATGCAGTCATTAAGCGAATCTGGCTTTCCCCATTGACATTTCTGGTCAGAAGCTGGTTAGGAAGAATACAAATGGTGCTCACATGACTCTGGGATAGTGCAACTATGATAAATACATGTCAGTTGCCAAGCACCCAAACTCTGATCAGGTGACCATGGGGATGCTATGATTGTAAATGTGAAAACTGATCATAAGTCACTTTTTTCAGTGCCACTGTAACTTCAAATAAATGGTTGTAATCTTAGCCCCCTCGGCTAAGACACAGAGATGAGCACCACCCTCTAGAGTCAGATATGACGGGACAAGAGAAACCTTTACCTTTTTTAAGTCAGGGATTATCTGTATAGAAATTAATAAGTGTCATGGTAGCACCAAAGTATTAAGGAAACATTTCTAGATCTGTTTATGATCTCAGATAATTTCCCACCTAGAGAACTAGGATTGTGATCCATTGAGCTGTATCGTAAAAGTCTACGGAGATTCTCAGTCATCACGGTCATAATTAAAAAGAACTTAAAAGATTTACTGGATAAATAAAAAGCTGTAAGCCACTTCAGGGAAATGGTCCAGTAATTTCAGTTGCAAAAAAAAAAACAATATACCTGATTATGTACTTTTGTTTCAGGAACTGTTTGGACAGGCATCATAGTCATAATATCAACAATAATTGTGGCAATCTCGGCAGCATTTCTCTGGTTTCTTTATCAAAGAAGGATATCTTCTAGACCAAGAGGTGATAATTCCATCACTCAAATTCCATGTGACAATGGAACATTTTTAATAGAAGATGAATATTCTGTTTAAACTGTTTTCATTTAGATATTGTTACAGGGGCAATGGCACAAAAACAGTCTTTAAAACCACTATCCTATATTCTAATGAAATATAATCCACATGCTTGTTAAATTGTTTTTATGCATATGAAGTGATTTTCTATCTAAATGTGCATGTTTCAACGTGCTTGATAGTTGAGAAATCATTTTAATCCCAAAAGGCAAATATGCCCAAAGATCCTTTGGAAGGAAGCAGCTCCTTCTTTCAACAACACTGTGATAATTTATTTTGATGAGACATTTGCCAACAAGTCTCACAGCACTCATTTGCTTATGAAGTTCAGAATTCCAATTGTGGACTAAAAGTCTCTACAAAAACTCCTTTATCGTTCCCAAAATTTTAAAATGCAAGATTGTAAAATATTATATTTTAAAAAGGTGGAGCTACTGCCATCATGAACAATGGACATGACATTTTATTAAAAACTGAAGAAATCTGCTTATTCTGCTAGTGAATGTCGGCTTTTTATATATATTAATAAAATATGGAAGAACAGCAAGGACCTTCAACACAATCTCAATCTTTTTATATGTCTATTTTAATATTCTGTTCCATGAAATAAAATTTTGAATATCAATATTTGCATTTTTTTAGCTCAAATAAAAGAGTAACTAAGGTTGTCCTTTCTAGAATTGCATACATAAAGCAATTCAGTGTTTACAATTAGGCTATTAATTATTGATAGGTAGATGGTGTTTGAGAATCGAACTAGCATTGCTCACAATTAGGCTAAAATCTAAATACATAATTATCATTTGGATGGTTAAACATGGACACCACATCTTTACTATGCTGACCTTATAATTTAGATAATTACATGCCTCTCAGTGCCAGAGAAAAACCCATATTTGTTAAACAGGTCTAATGACCCCCTCCCCCATCTCTGCAACCACTTTATTTTACAATCAAGTTTCCAGTTCTAATTGTGG